CTGCTGCATCTGTTGCATCTGCTGCATTTGCTGCATCCCTCCATTCATCCCCTGCATCCCCGGCATATTCATGCCTCCGTTCATCCCATTCATCTGGCCCATCTGCATCATCTGCGGCAGGTTGATGCCATTGCCGAGATGCAGCATCTGTGCCAGGTCGCCGCCCATAGTGGCCATGGGCGGCAGGTTGGCGAGGGCTTTAACGCCTTGTTCCATTTCAGAGCGGTACCGCAAGTACCGGGGGTAGGTGACTTCGTCAAAACCAAAGTTGAAGTAGTCGCTCACGACGGCACCGGGCATTCGCCAGGGCTGGCCAGAGCCTTCAAACATGGCTGCTTCGATGTCGTACACCGACTGGCCGGTGGAAGGGATGATGCCGGAAGGGTTTGAGGGGTTGGGCTTGAAGCCCTGGGTGGTGGGGGCAGTCACGACAGGAAGGGTCGATGGGGGGAGGTTTGGGTTGATGGGTGGGCCATTCTGTGTCTGGGTCATTTGAGGTTGGGCGGAGGGGGTAGGTCGTTGCTGGGGTTGGAGGTTGGGCGCAGTGTTATTGGGCGCAAGAGGAGGGTTCTGGAGAGGATTGACTTGGGGAGTCGCAGATGGTCGAGCAGCAGGAGTATACTCTGTAGTATGGTCTGCAGCTGCATTGCATGTCAGTCGACTTCTGGACCCCATAAGTGCACATACACCTGGTAGAAGCATCCGCAATAAGACTGGGGTTGTGAGGCGTCGCGGGAGCCGGCGCTTGAGCACCCGTACTGGCATGCGCCCACTTTCCGATACCAACAACGTTCACCGGTTGCTGCTGCTTTCTGTTTCAAAACTGTCAGCACATACTCACGGCCAGATACAGAAGGGACCAACCTCAAATCCAAAGCTCTGGGATTTCCACTAAACACAAACTTGACATCCTCCTCATCACTCTCATCGTCATCATCATCGTCACCCTCATCATCCTCCTCTTCCACACCACCATCTTCAGGGTTCTCCAGAGGGGGTTCTACGACAGCTGCAGAAGCGTCAATACCATAAGCTGCTAAAGATCTGTTCCACCGCCGGTTAGTATTCAGAAATGATGATATTCAAGGTGGATACGTACGCAGCCATGGAGGCACTGAGCTTGCTTTGGGCTTCAGTGGATTCATTCTCGGTAGCTACAAAGACAAGTCTGGTCAGCTTCGATGATTCATAGTACAGGCCGACAGGCTTACCTTGAGCAGCGGTGGTGTCTGCAGCGGCCTCGTCGCCGTAGAGGAAAGCGTCGTCGTCGTCCATGTCCATTCTGAGTTACTTGAGGGGTGAGTAGGAGGAGGACAAGCTGGGAGAATACCTGTTCTGTGGCTGGCAGAGACTTATTGAGCGCGCCCAAGAAAGCGACGCAAGAGGTGGAAAGCAAAACGCATCTTATGTGGGCGCGTGTTTAATGCTGGCACCTGGGTCTTCCTTCATCGAGTGAGTTTCATGCAATATCCATCGAGCTCTTGGGCTATACTACCCTAGGCCAACGAATGCCAGTATGTATCTGCATGGGCCATTCATTTGAAGACTCGATGTAGTCTAATCCATAGCCCGCGCGAGTTAGACTTCACAGAAACGATGTTGAGCGACCATCGTCGTCAGATGCAGAAGTTTTCGGAGCCATTCCTCCCACATTCTCGTTACCGAGCGACTGTACACGGGACCTTGGATAACAATGATGCTGGTACGATACATTGCGGTGCAGGATATGGATAATCTAAGGATACGACAATGATGAGAGCGTGGCGATGACGAGAATAGAAAGACACTATAGTGATATCAAAATGGGATGCCAGGATGGGTCGTAACAAAACACAGTAAAAAGACAAACAGATCACGCATGCACCCCCGAATCATGCGGCAGCTTCTTCTCCTCCAACCTCGACTGCTGCCTCTCCATCCTCTCCCCAGCCAACGACATTGCAAACTTGCTCCTCTCCCTAAACCAAGCACCATAGTAATAAAACACAAAGATCGGGACCGTCACGAGCGCCGCGATGATGGCGAGGATGGTGGAGGGCCATTCGAGGTGGTAGCGGTAGGATTCGCCGCCGACGTTGGTGTAGAAGGGGGTACTGTAGAGGGCGGCGATACCGGCGAGGAAATCTCGGGCGAGACCGTTGCCGCCGGTGGCGGAGGCTGCGTAGGGGCCGTAGGCTGCTACCATGCTTCAGACGAAGATCAGTGACATTCAAAGACAGAAGGGAAGGGGGGACGTACTAGTCGATAGTAGACATGTAGATAGCGTAGTTGGCAATACCGACCATCGCAGAAAAGATCATAGGCGCGATCCAATGCACGTGGGGCGGGCCCAGTGAGGTCCAGGCGAAACCAAACAGACCGATAGATTCGAGCGGAGCCACTACAAACAAGATTAGCCGGGTCCAGAGAAGAAGCGAGGAAGAAAACGCACGGTAGAGAAGAGGCTTGAGTCGGAATTCAGGAGCTGCGTTCGGGTCTTTTGCGAGGATACGTCGTTGAGACATGAGAGGAGGGATGTAAATGAGGTATGCCAAGAAATAACCGATGGCGATACTAAAGACTCTATCAGTACTCGACAATTCCCCAGAGGTGAACAAACTCACGGGACAAAAGCCAGAGCCATCTTCTCTCCCGTAATCCCCCACTGCTTATAGACAGGCGTGAAAGCCTCCATAAAAGTGAAGATCAACGCATCACTAAACCCAGACAACAAACTCAAACAAAGCACAATCGGTTCCCGGATAAACATCTCAAAAGGCCTGCAAAACGTCTTGACCATTTCGTGGAAAGAAAACTTCTCCTTGAACGTCTTGATCTCGGAAGGACCGTAGATCTTGGAATCGCCCGCTTTGCGGCGGCGTTGGGCTTCGCGGTCGAGGAGGATGGTCGCTCGGGATTCGGGGACGAGGAAGAAGTGGAGGATTTGGACGAAACCGCCGAAGATGAGTTGGGTCCAGCAAATCCAGCCCCTGTGACTCGTGTCAGTTGTGCCTGCTAGACGTATGAGGAGAGAAACGTACCAGCTGAGGTGCTCGGCAATGAAAGGCCCGACGAGGGGACCGATGATACTACCACCGACAGAGGACAAAACGATATAGGCGACGGCCCATTGTTGATCATTAGCATCGTAGAGATCGGCAACTGAGATAACATTAGGACTGCGTCTCCTCGAAGCGGAAAGGGAGGTTTTACATACCCATTCCCAAAGTGACGGAACCACCAGCCGAAGAGATACCTCCAAGACCTCTGGCAACGAGCACAGAACCAAAGTTGGGTGCAAGAGCAGCCAGGATAGACCAGACTGTTGTACCGTAAGCTTTTGCAGTCGCTGGCAAAGCGAGATGATGACTCACTGTTTACCAAGAAAAGGGATGCTTGCAGGACGGGGCGTCGGCCGAGTTCTTCGGACCAGGGAGCCCATGCCTGTGAATCTTGTAAGCTTGAGCGACCGACTAGTACAAAAGTCACTCACTTCACAACCAAAAGCGTAGCAGACCAAAAACAGCATCTGACCAATTCGCGCCTTTTGTTCCGTGATATCAAACTTCTCCGTCAAGAACGTGACACCGTTGGCATAGACGGCGGCGTTATAGTTCATCGAACATTGTACAATAAAGATGACTGTCAGGACAGACCACTAGACGTTTGTCAGCACATGTAATCCAGTCACACGACCTTTGATGACTTACCTTCTTTCTAGGACTCCACGCAAACCCGAGAGCCTCGGGCGCTTCCTCCTCCTGCAAGATATGCCTCCCATCCCCCGTATCGCCCCTCTTCATCTTTGGTCTCGCATTCTCCACTTGCGCGATCTGCGCATTGTCTTTGGGCTTCTCGGCGTAGATGGCCTTAGCCATGTGGGCGGGGTCATTGCGGACTTTGGCGTGATTGGCGCGGGGGTTGAAGGGCTGGTTGTTACCGTCGAGGGTATCGGTGGACGAGCGGTCGCTCTCCCCGGGAGCCAAAGCTACTTCTGATGGCTTTGACATGTGGAGCAAGAGTAGTGTGTAGTGTGGTTGATTGTAGAGAAAGAGAAAGGTGGATAGGAATATAAGTGGGCGAGAGTGGGTTTACGTGCTTCTTAATAAGATAAATCCTGGTATCCTGAAAGTTCATTTCCGTCGCATTCGTCATGCTGCACGAAATTAGACCATGGCCCACAAGATGGCCCACGAACGATGGACGGAATTCGGGACGAGAAGGAGTGTCATGACGTCATGTCCCTGAATTGACAACCTTAAGAGGCGGCAACGGAGGTGATCCCGAATCGAGTTCAGCGGCAACAGCAGCTGATGCATGGGCGATCCACCAAGAGTCCAAGATCGATGTGGCACGCGGCATTTCTTCTTCAACTTGTATACCTTCACTTGCCTGTTTATCTCTCATTCATGAGGAGCTCTTAAAGGCGCAACATTCGGCAGTCAAAAGTCGGCAGGCTCGGCATGCTCCTGTCTTGTCCATCAGGGACCATACAAAGGGCGGTCCCTTGCTCGATTGCTCCTGAAAGCCTTGCGGAGCAAAGGGGGGCCGCGAGGGGCAACCACGCAAGTGTTGGAAAACGGCTCTAAAATCTGGAAAATCTGGAGAACTGTGGGAATCGACTACTTTAAGCGAACGTGGCCCACGAGGGCCCTCATGCATCCCCCCATGTTCCCCCGCCTGTGTGCCACTTGCGTTTTGGCTGACACAATGAGGTTTGGGTTTGCCTTGTTTGCCTGCAATTGGCGAGGCATGATATACACTACTCCTGATAACGTCGAGTATTTTTGGCTCTGGATCTCGCTGCCAAGAGTATTGCGGCCATGATCAACCGTGGTCGTTCGTCAAGATGTGTGGACTGTCAGTTGATCATAATAACGGACCAAGGATCAAGCCTCGATAGATCGATTAGATTAGCGCACTGCTACGCGACTCACGTCCTTGGTTCGTCCCTTTGTGCATCAAGTGATTAGCATTTCTGCCTGCAATGATGCGCTACTACAAGTACATGTCTACTCCCTCGCTCAGCACGATCAGAGACTATCGCCAAATCTGATGATACTTAGGGTTTTGCAGTGTGCGATAACTGAAAAGACCAAAAAGACAACTCGAGTATGTGCTGCATAAACACTTTCCAGAAGAAAAACTCGCAGTATATCAATTATGACTTCTTGTTTGAACAAACGTAAAAGAGATATGTGCGATAAACTTGTCATAGACTACACGTCGTGGAAGCTACATAGCAGAAGGTGAAGCGTTGCCCGCCTTTTTCGAAGAGAGAGAAAGACACTGACAGAAAAATAGAGAGAGAATCGATTCTGTGAATCGCCCTCGTTTTTCCCGCTCAGAACTCTGGGAAGTTATATACACTCGAAAAAAAAAACCGCAAGCCTTGTCCGTATTAAAGCGGGGTCATTAATGAAGAGAAAGAAGTAGTGTCATGAACGCGAACGCATTACTGCCGCGAGGGGTTGGCGACCTATACCAATGTCAGTGATCGCCCAGAAGCAAAGAAGTTGGCAAGACTCACGTGCAGAGGATTCTCCCTCTCGTGTTGAGGCGTCCCATTACCCACCGACCCCTCGTTCCCAGAATATCCACCATACGGATCATCCGTATACGGCTCCGCCCCCTGTTCCGCATCATGATACTCTTCCGCCTGCGCCGGGTCAAAGTAATACGCCTGCCCCACCCCCTGACTCCCTTCCGCACTCTGCAGCCCCTCGCTCCGCCCTTCGTGATTGAGCGGCGCATCGCTATACGCCTCCGCCGACGTCGTGGGCGCATCGCTATATTGCTCTGGCGTTCCGTGCGGGTCGTAGTAGTACCCCTGGCCGTCTGGCTGGAGGTTGTCGTACCCTGTATGCGCGCCGTAGCCCGCAGCGGCGGCGGCGTAGGGGTCGTACCCACCGGCATTGGCGTAGGAAGCGCCGTAGCCGTCGTATTGGCCCATGTCGGGGCCGCTAGCGGGGGAGGGGTAAGATTCGCTATTGGTCTGCGGACCGGAGGAAGGCGTGTAATTTTGGTCCTCGTCGACGGGCTGACGTCCTGTTGAAGCGGGCGCAGCCATAGCAGCTGCAGTCACTTCCCTATCCAACCTCTGCCTCCTTCGCCGTCTGAAACACAACAACGCCAACGCCGCCGCCAGACCAATCACCACCAAGCCTACCACGACAAACGTCCCCGCCACCGCGCCCTTGTTGCTGAAGAACGAGTTGGAAGAGCCGCCGGATGAGGACGAGCCAGAGTCGAGGGAGCCGGTGGGGTTGTGCACAATTTGGGTGACGGTGTAGACTTCGCCGTCGGAGGTGGTTACGTAGGAGGAGGTGTAGGTGTCGGGGGTGGTTGTGACGGCGTTGCCGGCAGAGTCGGTTGTGGTTGCGACGTAGGCGGATTGGGCGGTGGTGCTCGCAGCAGTGTTGCTCTCAGAGACGACGACGGTCGATGTCCTAACGCATGTCAGCTCCAAAGATTGAGATGCCGTAAATAGACTCACTGTGGACCACTATCGCTTGTCGCCTGTGTCGATGTCGCTGCTCCGGCCGTTGAAGCGCCCGCCGACGAGCTCGCACCAACCGTTATAGTAGTTGTACCCGGGTTTGAAGACCTGCCCAATATCAATACGTTATCTTATACACCGCCAAGACATGCAAACTCACGTTACGGCCCCGCCTGCAGCGCTCGACTGAGCCTGACTACTCGCCGCCGCCTGACTGCTCTGCGCTTGTGTAGTCGAAAACACTGTCGTCTCACTCTGCGCCGCCGCCGAGCTTTGCGCCTGACTCGTCGCAGCGCTCGTCGCACTCGGGCTCGCACTGCTTTGCGCTTCTGAAGCACTCGTGCTGGCTGAAGGCGATTGGGTTTGGGATTGAGATGCTTGAGCCGAGCTCTGCGCTTGAGAGGTGGTGGGGACTGCAGAAGACTGGGCTGCTGAAGATTGGGCGGCGGATGATTGAGCTGCTGATGACTGCGGGGTTGAAGATTGAGCTGCTGAAGACTCGGCGGCTGAAGATTGAGCTTCTGAAGTCGTTGGCTGGGCTGAAGATTGCGCTTCTGAAGTCGTTGGCTGGGCTGAAGACGTAGCGGCCTCGGACGTTTGGGCTGATGATTGGGCAGCAGACGTTTGTTGAGCAGTAGACGTTTGTTGAGCAGTAGACGTTTGTTGAGCAACAGACGTTTGTTGGGCAGAAGATGTCGCCGTGGGAGATTGCGAGGAAGGGGTATCATCAGAAGTGGTAGTAGACGACGGGGTGGATTCAGACGATTCAGAAGACGCAGCAGCAGCAGAAGAAGCTAGATTGTCAATGCAGTACAACAACAATAGAGAACACAGACATCAACGAAAACCGTCGACAAATGTTTTTTGGGGGGGTTCCCACTCACCTTCAGAGCTCTCGGCAGCAGCGCTGCTCTCAGGGGCGGCGGACGATGCGGCGGTGTCGTCTGAAGTGCCGTTCCCAGTGTCGTCCTGCCTGGGGACGAGGGCCGGGCGGGCTGTGGGCCATGGGTAGGCTGCGGGCGGGGAGGAGAGGGTGGACATGGGGGGCGGGGTGAGAGATGTAAGGGGGGAGGTGGACGAGGTGGAAAGGCAGAAGAGAAAGAAAGAGATTTAGGGAAAACGAGGCGATGATGCTAAAATTCGCGTCCCTATTTCGTCCCCAGCAAGATTATCTCCTTTCTTCTTCCGTCATGCATCATACCTCTCCCTTCTTTCTTCTCCTCTCATGCAGAAACCTTCGCTGGCCGTGTGGAGCTCGCTCGAGGTGATGTGCTGTGCAGGGAGTTGTACGACGTCTTCTGGACCGCTACCCGCGGCCGCGTCTCATGAGCTTGATCTTGACCTGTGCTATATCTGCCGGCATGTGATGAGATTTGAAGATCCTTCTGCCAAACAGCTGTCTGCCTGGTGTGCTCTGCATGTGGCTGGTAGCCTTTTTTGGATATAGCACGGCTCTGACGCAGAGAGTCGGAAAAAGAGATAGGGTGATACGACGCATGGTGGACGATATCAGAGTCCGCCGCTGTCTATCTACCTTGATACTGGATACATGCTGTCATGTTTCTGCTTGCATGACGATGAATGTGTGTCAACAACTGCATTTTCAATTTCCCACAGCCCACAAGCCTAGCTCGTCTGGACCACAGAGCCCAACAACCCCAAACAACTATGAACTGTGCATGACTTCGGTAGCGACGTTTACCAAAGCGACTAAGTGACGACATCGTTAGTCGTTACTGGCCTTATATGGGTGCGGGGCCAGTTACAGTATATATCAGAGCCTTTGAGTTGGAAGCATGTTGAAAGACGGCCACATGCTGATTACAAAAGAGACTCTAGTAGAGTAGCTCTACATATGTAGTCACAAATGTGAGAACGGTAGGTCGAAGGCGGTAGCAACGAGGCACGGAAGCTTGTAGGCTCGATTCGATCATAGCAAAGGAGTGGCAACGTCCGATGCGATTCGTCCAGTACTTCAAAGACTGTAAGCTCGAAGCATTGCATGGCGTATCGCAACGAGAAGGCTACCTACCAGATAGAAAAGAAGTAAAGGTTGAGGTTGTGGGAAAGTGGATCGACTGAAGAAGATGGGTGAGTCGTCCTCACTCATCATCAGCTATATTTCAATGAACCCTTTTCGATGAGTTGTTCCACCAGTTTGAGATGCAACTCTTTCCTTTTGGCTCGTTGGACATGTACTCGCTCATGTCATCTCGTAGTTTGATGACGGTAAGAAGTCATATCAGCCGTCGTGGGTAAAAGGTAGATCGTTGACTTCTACCATGCCATCATCAAGATCCACTTCTCCCCCTAGCAATAATGCCTTCCGAGCAAGAAGGTACAGCTCAACCCGACGATCAACCCGACGAGGAGTCACAAATGACAGATGAAGAATGGCTCGAATCTCCCATCATGGCAGCAACTCGCGAAGAACTCACTGCAAATTAATTGGGAGAGGTATTCAGAGATCTCTTCTGACGATCAGAGACTTGCAGACTGTCATGGATAGCGAGGAGAGTGACTCTGTCCAGCAGGAGCGCCTAGCAGCAGCAGCGATAGCAGTCAATATCAGAGATGGAATGAGTGAATGGTAGCTAGTTGTGTATGATGATCTAATGTAACGACTGAATGGCATCAATGAAATTATCACATTGGACGTGCAGCCAGAAGGGCAGTCAATAGCTGGGGGCAATGGGTCGCTGTTGGCTCCTCCGATACATATCCACCCGGACGTGAACGGTGATGACAGCAACTTGGTTCGAGAAAGGGAATCAATGACTCGCCGCAGCATCTCTGCAGTAGGCGTTATATGACGACCGCTGAGACAGACAGTCAATGAAGTATCCAGCTTGAGTCCTTGACATATCACATATCTGTGTCTGCTTCATGCCACCGGACACGTCGGGTACATAGTGGGCTCTTCTTCGGGTTCCCGGTTGAGACAGACCCACCTTGTCCGACTCTAATTCCTATGTCCCGGAGCACTTTCTGACTCACACTGCCTGACATATCCCCCGCTTAGCCCAGGGACCCCCCAAGGTAAGTCCGGTCCCTATGCAAGAACAATACCAGGCTGAAACGCAGTGGGCGTTTCAGGATCCAGGGCTTGATAACGGGATCAACCGCCAGGCACTGTGCACCACCGCGTCTTATTGTTCTCTTTCACCTCCCGTTTCTGATTGTTCTCTTGTTTCTTTCCTCCCCTTATATACACAACCTCTGTCACCGTACACAAACACGCCCCTAGCTTCCACCTACGGTACCATCAGTACTCCCACCCTCCTTATAATCCCGTACCTCGCCAGCTCAGACTCGTGCCTCCCCTCGCCCCTCCACCGCCAACCACACCACCGCTATATCTTTCAACATGACCGTCGACGCTCAGAGCAAGACCAACTTCAATGTTCCTGAAGCTTACCAGCTGCAAGAGGTAGTCGGCGAGGGTGCCTATGGCTTAGTAGTGTGAGTTGGCCGCTGGTCTTGTGCAGTCACAGTAACTCACCATGATGATTCTCCTGTCTCGCTATTCCTCACCATATGTCATGATATGAACTATCATACTGGCACAGCTCGGCTACCCACGTTCACACTGGCACCAAAGTCGCCATCAAGCGCATCACCCCGTTCGACCACACCATGTTCTGTCAACGGACTTTGCGAGAGATCAAGCTCCTGAGGCACTTCCGGTACGTTCTTTAATCTTTTGTATAACATGTGGTGGGATCAGGTGTACCTATGTTACCGCCTCTGGCGCATGCCTTTTTGGAGGCAAAGGTATAGAGGGTGTCTGGCAGTGGCGAATCTGCTTGGGTTGTAACTCAGCGTTTGGCCACCATCAGCTTCTTCGTGTTCAAGCTCAGATGTTGCCTGATATATCTGCTATATGGGCCTCTCCATGTGACATCAGACGCAAAAGTGGAATCTTCTTGTACTGACTTGCGCACCTATAGCCACGAGAACATCATCTCCATCCTCGACCTCATCAAACCCGCCTCCTATGCCTCATTCACTGAAGTCTACCTCGTCCAAGTGCGTACTTTCTCCATTTTGCCCTCATGCGCCCTCCTCGTTTTCAGGCCACGTCCTTTGAGCTTCTGCTTCCCTAGGAACAAGCGCTGATAGCCCACGCTCAGGAACTGATGGAGACTGATCTACACCGAGTCATCCGAAGCCAGGATCTCTCCGATGACCACTGTCAATACTTTGTCTACCAAGTGCGTCCCTCCATCTCTTCCATCCTTCCTTCTTTGCTTGTGCAGTCACTGACAGGGTGATCAGACTCTGCGTGGCCTCAAAGCCATGCACTCTGCCGACGTCCTCCACCGAGACCTCAAACCCTCCAATCTGCTCCTAAACGCCAACTGTGATCTCAAGATCTGCGATTTCGGCCTCGCCCGTTCGTCGGCAAAGAAGGACCCGGGGGCGGAGACGGGGAATGGGTTCATGACCGAGTATGTTGCTACGAGGTGGTACAGAGCGCCGGAGGTCATGCTTTGTGAGTCTCCTCCCTTCCCCTGCTTTGGTTTTGGTTTGGGGGGTGGAAATGCTGATAAGGGGTAGCGTTCCAAGAGTATACCAAGGCGATCGATCTTTGGAGTGTGGGATGTATTCTTGCAGAGATGTTGACTGGCAAGCCCCTCTTCCCTGGACGAGACTACCATCACCGTACGTCACCTCCTTCCAAAAGCCATTGCAACTGACCCCCCTCGCAGAGCTTTCTCTGATCCTCCAAGTCCTCGGTACCCCGACCATGGACGACTTCAACGAGATAACCTCTCAGCGCTCTAAAGATTACCTCGTATGTCTCACATATCTGTCTTTGGGATGTACTAACGTGTGATACAGCGAGCCCTCGAGTTTACCCGGCGCCAGGACTTTGCGACCATCATCCCCAAAGCCAAGCCCAACGCCCTGGACCTTCTCCGCAAGACTCTGACGTTTTCTCCGACAAAGAGGATTACGGTGGAGGAGGCTCTCAACCATCCTTATGTCGAGGTACGTACTCGTCTCTTGTGATGCTTCGAGTGTCAGTGCTTATGGGCTGTAGGCATACCACGACATGAACGATGAGCCCGCTTCGGACCCCCTCCCCGCCGGATTCTTCGACTTTGAATACTCTCAAGACAAGCTTTCCCGAGATCAATGGAAACGTACGTCCCCTCTTACAATATCCCTCCCTGGCCAGAGCTGACATCAAGGTCCAGAGATGATCTACAACGAAGTCACTCGAGAGGTCAACGAAGTCCTCAAGTCATAAATTGCATTCTTCATATTGCATACGGCGAAGAACACATGGCGGGGCTGTGTGGGCGCCTGGAGATTGGTGTTGGTCAGAGGGTCTTAATTGTTCTTATGCTCTATTGGCATTGTTTATCATTGTGTGATATATATATCCTTAGTCGTCATCTATATACCCCAGTCTCGTCCTCTTTATTCCTAGTAGTCGTCGTTCTTGGATACCCCCCACCTCGTTACTTCTTGCGGATACCCTCATTTATTTTGAGATAGCTTCTTCACTCATTCAGAAATGTATCGTGTCCCGTACCAAAGTCTTTGATGAGCGCTGCCTGGTTAAAAGGGCAGAGGACGGATAGGTCAAGGGGAAACAAGGGTATATACATGCAGTCGTGAGGGAGAGATTCTACAACCGGTAAAGACCAAGCTACAAAACTAGCTCTTCAAGCTCTAGCGATATACCATCTACATCTACAACACCTTCTATTGAGCAAAACGTCTCTTTTTGCCGAGTCGTTCTATAACTTGAAGAGGAAAGAAAGCTATACACTGGTCAGTATCATGATGACAGGCGAAAAGCGGAAGAGGTAACTCGCATCTTCAGTAGTCAGCTTGCCCAGCGCCGCGTCGGCCTCCGAGCTCAGCGCCGCCTCCGTCATCGCCAACTTTTTCGCCTGGAGCTGTACGATCTGATCTTCGATACTGTCTTCCACGACAAGTTTGATGACCTTGACGGGACGCTTTTGACCGAGACGGTGGATACGGTCCATAGCCTGGTACTCGACGGATGGGTTCCACTGTTGGTCTGGTCAGCTGCGGTATGATTTGAGTCAAAAGAGGAGGACGAACCCAACTGTCCATCATGAAGACCATTGAAGCTTCGGTCAAGTTCAAGGCGACACCACCAGCTTTCAAGGAGATCAAAAAGACGGTGACACCAGTGTTTTTCACTTTCAGGACATTAGCAAGTTGACCATTGTCTACGGGCGATGAGAACTCACTGAAATGCTGGATGGTAGCATCTCGTTGCTGGGGGGTCATGCCACCCTCAAGACGGCAGATATTGAACCCGGCTCGCTGCAAGCGGAAGGCGATAAGGTCGAGGAACGAGACGAATTGTGAAAAGACGAGCGACTTGACGGTCGAATCCTGATTTCGGAGCTTCTCAAGCTCTTCAACTAGCGCTTCGAGCTTTGACGAAGATCGCCAGTTCTACTCACTGATCAGCACCAAATACACGTAAGAGAGCGAGGTACGTACGTCGAGGTTCAGCCTGCTCAGGATCCCTTGCCTGGCCTTCTTTGTGCCATCGTCCAACTCCAACGCCTCCGCCTCCAGGTCAATCGAGATTTCGATATGGCAGACAGGACACTCGGGCTTGTGGCCACGGGCTTGCTTGACCTCGAGGTATTGTTTGATACATTCTCGGTCGAAAACGTGCTTGCACTGAGACATGATGGCATCTTCGGCCTGTGACAGAGTCAGTACTGGGTCGAGTCTGAACGTCTTGACGTACGGTATCGTTACAGAGACGACAGACGGTACCTTCGTTGATCTCGGCGAGAGTGCTGTTTTTGGATCGAAGCACCAAATCGGGATGACAAGCCATTTGACGCACTGTGCACATTAACCATTAGCTGGTATCCTGAATGTGAGGTAGGTGGGCACTCACTTCTGGTAATGAGAGAGAAGATATTGGAGTAGTCTGTAAATCGATGAGCGCAAATCCATGTTTACAGGAAAGGACTTACTGTTCAAAACCGTACCCTGGTCGATATAGGTAGCAAAAGTACGCTTCGCGTTTGTAAACAAACTCATATACAACTCCTTTTCTTCCGGGCTAAAGTAGTCCCTTCTGACCACGATCGTCCTCGGCGGTAAACCCAAATCATCCGCCCTCTCTAATTTGGTCCTCCTCAGCATCATCCTGTCCAGCAAGATTTTGAGTTTCTTGAATGCGGTATGACCGGGCCCGCCTTGTTCGATACCGTACTTGGCGATGGGGGTGAGAATTTCAGTGTTCCAGAAACAGACGTGGACCATCGGGGAATGGCCGCACTCGTCGCAGGATCGTTTGTCGGAGAATTGCCAGTGAAGACTCTTACAGGGGCACTTTTTACAGAAGTAATGGCTATCGTGATATCAGCCATGCTCCTTCACGATCGCGAAATACTCACCTGAATGGATCCGCGCCCAAGAACCTGACGAGCGAATACAACTCTCCAACCCTATTCTGCAGCGGCGTACCAGACAGGCACCACTTGTACTGCGCCTTTAGAGCGAAGGCCGCCTTGGCAGCATTCGTCGACCTCTCTTTGATATTGTGCGCCTCATCCAGCACAACCCGGAACCACTCAAACTCGTGCATGGGTGACTTTTCCTTGATGAACTTGTCGCCTCTCTTGAATCCGCGCTGCTGTCTCCTGAAAGACGCTTCGAGGGTACCGTAAGAGACGAGGACAACGTCGTATGATTGGAGGTCGGAGGCTTTCATGCGGCCTTGGCCGTGCCAGAGGCAAACGGTGAAGCCCTCGGCGTGTGTTTCGATCTCGTTCTTCCATTGCATAAGTGCGACGACGGGGGCAACGACTAGAGAAGGTTTGCGGCGAGGTTCGGAGAGGAGTAGCGCGATGGTTTGGATGCTAGCGGAATGTCAGCAGTGGCTGTGGGCAGTGATGAGCCTGGACTAACGTCTTTCCCATACCCATCTCATCAGCCAGCATACCGCCCTTCCACGGACCTTCCTCCTGCTGCTTCATCCAATACAAACTCTCCTTCTGGAAAGGCAGAAGAGTGAGCTTAAGAGACGGATGAGGTTCCATAGTGGTAGGCTTGACGGGTGCAAGCTTGTTTTCGAGATCACCCCAGACATGCTCGAGCTCGGGATGGTACTGAGATATGTCAGCGGGGTCATGAAAAGGAATAGATGGAACGTACCATGCATAGCGCAATCAAATTCTTTTCGCCATTCGTCAACTTTCTCCCCAGCTTCTTGGAGAGCTCCTTCTCCTTCTTCTTTCGCGGCGCCGCCGACTTGGCCGACTTTTTCGCCTCTTTTCTCCTCCTAAACTTCGTTTGCTCCATGAACGACAAGCCCTCTGGCTCTGGCTCCGACAAGGACTCTTCAGACACCCCGTCCGACTCGAAATCATCTTCCGACTCCTCTTCAGAGTCTGCTCCAAGCTTCTGACCTTTTCCTTGGAACTTTTTGGTCGTCGCCTTGCCCTTGACACTCTTTGCATTACCGCTGGACTGACGGCCACCTCTCCCTCTAGCGCCTCTTCCTCCAGCTCCACGGGCAAGATAAATATCTTCATCCGTTTCGGTGGCATCGGGATCGGTGAGGGGCGCATCGGGGTCGGTGAACTCGTCATCGTCGGAGAGGGGAGTAACTTTGCCAGAGGCGGCAGTGGAAGTCCGGCCGCTTCGACCTGTTGAACAATAAGCATGATTGCCGGGCGTGCGACGAGATACTCACTTCCAGAGGCGATAACACCTGCCTTCCCTCGCCCTCTCGTAGCTCCAGCAGTAGAAGCTTTGATCGCCCTCTTCAACTGCCGCTCCTCTTCATCACTGTCCATGGCGAAATCATCATCCTCTGCAGACGACTCGGCTTTGACAGCTTTTCCCTTGCCCTTTCCTTTAGCAGCAGCTCGCTTCTTGGGCTTGATCTCGAGATCGGCCGCTGACTCTTTGACGACGCTGCTATAAGTTCCTATGCTGAAAGGCTGATCGGCCACAGGATCGAGCTCAGCCTGCCAATATCAGCTCCACAAGATAGGGGCGATAAGGTTGGCCACTCACTTTCGGCTTGATTTCTGGCTCCAAATCGCTCTCCACGTACTTGGACTTGGCCGTGCCATTCGATAAAGTTGGATGCCGCTTTCTCTCTACGACAACTTCAACTGAGGGTCGGCGTCTTTTGCCGTTGCTCAGACCGTCGCTGTTGATAGAGCCGCTGGTGGAGCTGCCGTTCGTGGTCGGAGGCGGCGGGATGGAGGGGCGCGAGCTGCGTCTGGGCGGCATGGTGGAGAGGGGGCGGCAAGCAAAGACACTGAAAGAGAAAAGAAAGGTAAGTGATGAAAGAGAATTGAGGATTTTGGTGGGTGATCGATGGCGAAGGGCGAACGAAAAGTGGAGGCCGGTGGAGGCCGGCGGCGGTTGACCGGAGTTGACTCAACCGGCTGATCGTGGGAAGTTTTGGGAGAAGAAGGGTTGAGTGATTTGTTCTCGCTCAACACTAGAACAGACAGCAGAGTTCCAAATTCAACAGAAATATTGTCCTGAAGAGGACTGGAATCATGGACTGAGACCGCTCAACTTCTACTTACCAATTACATACCGACAGCCACAACATCCTTCGCAGCTTATCCAGCAGCAGGCCCCCCCCTCTCGGCGGGCATCTCGGCTCGGTCCATCGAATATACCGGAAGGCCACTACTTCCATCCTGTCACCCGTCGCCAATTATGGAGTTGATGGGTCAACCGATCTGCTCGCCTCCTCCTGAGCTGCCTGCTGTCCACGGCGGTGTCTTCTATCATAACAGCCCCAGCGTACATACAGAACAGCAGTACTCATCGGTTTTTCGCTGATCCTATTCATGGTGGGCTACGGCTACCATCGTTCCTCTTCGACCTCTCTTCCAGAATGTCGCCTACATTTTGTATCAAAATTCGGTGTTCAAAAGTGAGGCTGTTGGCTCAAGAACTCAGAGTTAGTAGAAACCTCATCATCGTCCCTCACGAGCACCATCCCAGCAACTGTCCGCCTATGGCTGCTGTCTTCCATGTTCGCGCCAGTGACGGTCTCTCTGCCGACATACATCACAACGTCAAACATGGTATCTTCGCTGATTTCACTCAGACCGACGTGGCTGTATCGCTCAGGGTCCGATTGCACAAACGCATCAAATGCGGTTTTCTCTGCCCGCTTCAGAGGCAGGACGTCCCCTCGTGTACGGCATCTGGGGGCCCACTCAGACTCAGTGTCCCTAAGTGTATCCCTAACAGCTTCTCCTACCTCATTCGCCATGCTTATGTACTCATCGTTGTCTGCCTTTGTATTTTGGGTTGCAGTCGCACACGTCGTGATTGACCCGCGAGTGAATTTCCCATTGTCGGGATCCAGCACGTTGGAGGACCAGACGTAAGCGTCCTTCTCGCCTTCAGCGCCGAATTGAAGGTCCGAGAAACTTCGGTCGATGTCCTTCTGGAGTACACCATCGAGAGTGTAAACTGATTCCTCGTACTTCTCTTCTTCGTTCGTAGGCCAGACCTGAATTGTGACTTGGGACGACATGGTTTCTCTCGTTGTATCCTGTGTTGTTGAAGGTTTGCTGTGGTACATTCTGTATGACCTCTTATATATGTCAGGGGTACGACGGAAAAAGTACCAAAAGAGGGGGTGGCACTGTCGTTACCACAAATAGCCATACCTACTTTTGAAGCAGCCCTCATTCTGAAATGCGTCTTTAAGGAGGGTCCGTCAAGATTGCGCTAGTATACTCTGTTTATGAACCTTTATGAACCTTCTCTTTTCAACTAATCATTATCGTTTTCAGATATATAAAAGGTGAACGGTAAACGGCTCCAGAGTCAGCCAACACGCCACAAAACAGCCTAGAAGACGACTGGATTTCAATTGCTTGCCCACCTAGGCTTGAACATGTTCCTATTATGGCACGACAATCATGAACGACAAACGCTTCTCAATGACATCGGCCACAGAAAAACGGGGCAATTACTTTCCTTTGTTCAGGCGCCCCAGTGATAACCATATGATCATACCAAAGAGTCAGGCTGTGAGGTTGGCAACACCCCCAAGCGTTACATGTACATTACGCCGCACGTTGAGCAAACTGATGATCACGGTAACTCAGGCAGGCCCATACACCAAGGAGGGTATAGCGCGTGACACAACGACGATGCATCGTGCAAGGCGTATTGCATGAATATCGATCGCATCCATAGTGTGCATTCATCACTGTTGCTCCGTAGACGAACGACTACAAACTTTGAAGCATCATTTTTTTGCTTCTTGCACGACAACACGATTGTAGACACTCCTGTGCTATTCGATTACTCAACGTGGTTGAGCGTTTGCTCAGCTTCTAAGATAAACCAGTCAGTTCTGCTCTCCAGATTTCAAAAGCCGGGCTCATACCTTCTTGTCTGACATCATCGATAGTACCATCATCTTCATTCGCTGCTGCAGCAGTGCCTTCTTTCATCTCTTCATCGGCATCTCCTGCAGCGATCAGTGGCATCCCAGCCACCGAATCGACGCCACGACGACTGTCCTCCGAGCTATCACCGAATAACACTTTGCTCATGATCTCCTGGTCAACAGTCCGCAAGCCAATGTCGCTGAACTGATCAGGTAACGATTCCACCAGCTCATTGAATATCATCTGTTCTACCTCTCTCATTGGCGTCATGGTCCCGCTGGCCCGACATTTGGGCCCCCATCCGGACTCGGTGCCTTTGAGGAAATCGCAAAGAGCAGTGGACGCTGCATTTGCTCTGGTGATGTAGTCTGTGTTTTCGGCTTTACTATTGGTGCTCGCATTGGCGCAAGAGGTGAATGATCCTCGGTAAAGGTTCTTAGTATCCTCCGCGATAATGCTGCAAATCCAGATGTGAGCTTTCTTCTCTTCTTCGTCTGGCCCGCCGCCTGCTTCCCGTTCGAAGATACCGTCGAGGGGGAAGGTGCTGCTTTCCGCGTCATAGCTGCCATGGCCACTTGTAGGCCATACTTGAGATGTAACTTGGGACGACATTGTTTCTCTTGCTATAGAATGTTGTTGTTGCTGTGTTCATTGACGCAGGCCGTTTATATCCTGTTGAAAAACAAGGATCCCTTCACCCGCTTGATAGCCATTCTTAGAACGAAGAGCTGCTGTCTCTTGGAGGCTCCTGCTTCAAGATGGGCATTTGAAATTGGACTTCCTTTCGTCGATGCACTATGGATGAGACGCGGGGCTTCAGATGCTGCTGATTCTGTACCAGAGATATCTCATCATCACCTCGAATTAGGAATGAAGAAGGCTAAAGAAGCTGCAGGCAGCGAGACTTTCTAAATATGTTGATGATGCTTCTGTGGGATCCATTTATACATTGTCCAACGAGAACGATCCTTGAGGCATTTCCATTTTAGTTTGATCTGTCATCTCTCAGTATACATCAACCTCTTGCCATTCCCGTTGATGACGCACTACTGGCGCGGTCTGTAATGAAGTAGCTACATATATTAGCGCAACGCGTTGCAGCAAAACCCACCCACCACCTTCTCACACAACAGCATTAATACTGTGGTAAGAAACTCCCACACTTTTGCGGCACGTTATTCACGTAGTTCTCTTGCTTACTTCTGCAACAATAGATCACCGCTCCAAGACCCGCTACTCCCCAGCTCATCCCTCTCAGAGCATCATAAATCCACGGGTCGTCATGTTGTTGGTGGAAGTATCTTTTCTGCTCAGCGATGGATGAGGATTAATCCAAGGACAGCGGGCGCTTTATACTTTACATGTCTTATGTTATGTTGAACGGGCGAAAGCTAGCGTTATGGATTGTGAGAAAGACCTTCTCCACGCACAGCCAGAGTAGAAGACAAGATACTCATCAATAGTCCGAATCCACACTGCCCAACTCCGTCCGTTCACCTCCATCCCATCCAGCTTCGCTTGAGGACCAGAACCCAAACATGCGCCGTGTGTGTTTGCTATCAACAAGGGACTGTGTTGCAGTGGTAGCATTCAAGACTTCGAGGTCTTAAAAACTGGAGTTTCATCTTGCGGTCACGGGTTCGAATCCTGTCGGTCCTTGTCTTTTTGCTCCCCTTTCTTCATTTTTTTGCTCCCTTCCTTCTCTGAGAAGAATCTCCGCACATCGGTGATCGGAGTCTGCGGAAAGGTATGTAGGGAATGTAGGGGATAACGATTGTTGATGATGGCAAATAACAAACGCCTTGGCAAGCAAACACTTGGAATCGTTAAATTATAATCCCACTCCCCAAGCTGCCTCCACGGCCAAGGCTACAAAGCCTCCCGGAATGCATAGCACGGTATCCCGGCCAGCGTCTACTGCAAACGCCAAGCATATTGTTATACGCGCATATGGGCGGCCTGCTGATTATGGTGGTAAAAGGGCTGGATCTTATGAAGAGAATCTTTCAGGCGCGGTGAGTCACCCGCACGCGGCCGGGAGGCCGAAAATGTGGAATCGAGATCGTATTTTGATCTGTATCTGATCTCTCTGCGCTGTATGCTGCAGGTGCAGGGTATGGGTGCAGCTCTAGCATGGCGGCCTTTCCCTTCGCACGATGCTGCAGCGATACTCGATTGTCTCCGATTGCAGGAGCGGATGCATGTCTGGCGTTGATTCGGCGTCGCGAGAGGGCTGCGTCATCATCGGTGGGATGGCGAAAAAATAGCGGTCTTCGGGGACATGGCCGTCTCTCTCTTGCTGTCTCATCTTGCTCTTGCTAGCACACGGGAAGTCGGGTGAGTGTCCCTTCCGTCACCTCCTGCACCTCTGCGTCTTGGCATCCCCCCGCTATATAACCCCCCGCCCCCGCCCCCCGCATCCACATCCATCACATCAAACGCAATGGGCAGAGGCGACTACAACCCCATCTCGCCCTACGGCTACACCCCCACTGAATGGGTCACTATCGTCTTTCTCGTCATCTTTTCCGTCTCGGGTGCCGTCCACCTGGCACAGGGGGTATGGGGAAAGTATTATATCGTATTTCCCACTCTCATCGTCGGGCTACTTCGTATGTCCCTTTCTATGCTTTGTTTGGGCCAAGCTGACTGGTGGGTAGTTGAGATTATAGGCTGGGTGGCGAGATTATGGAGTTCGAGGAATGTGCTCTACGACACACCGTTCCTCATGCAGATCATCACGTACGCTCTTAGCCTTGGATGCCATCACCCTTTAGCTGACGATATGATAGGCTCATCATCGCCCCCGTCTTCTTCTCGGCGTACTGCTACACCATCCTGGGCGTCGCCATCCAAGCACTTGGCAAACAATACTCTCTCCTCCGCGCCAACTGGGTACGCCCCCTCCATCCGTCTTCCTTTCCGAGTCCGTGCTAACGAAACCTAATAGTATGTCGCCATATTCGTCACCTGCGACGTCATCTCCCTCGTCCTCCAAGCCGTCGGCGGCGGCTGGGCCGCCTCCTCTGACGAACACCCCGTCCCCCACACGCCCACCAACATCATGGTCGGCGGTATCATCTTCCAGCTCGTGACGATGATTGTCTTTTGCTGTCTTGCTGCCGATTTCATGTGGCGCGCGGCGTCCAAGAAGGCTTATAAGAGCAAGCTTGCGCAGGCGGAGAAGGAGAGGGAGCTCGAGATGGGGGTTGTTGAAGTGCCCGACAGTCCTCAAACAGCCGACAGCGACGCGCGGTTGGCTGGAAAGGAGGTCAATAGCCCGTACAGCACGTCTATCGACGATGCGGGAGAGAGGAGGAAGAGGGTGAGGGGATGGTGGTTTGTCATGCTTGGCGTTGGGATTTGCAGTATTTGCATCATCGTGCGAGGTATCTATCGTACCGTCGAGTTGCTGCAGGGGTGGGATGGGTATCTCATTTCGCATGGTACGTTCTTCTTCGTCTTCTTTCTTTTCCAGACGAAGGGCGACTGACAAAGAGTGTAGAGGTCTACCAAGACGTACTAGACGGTATCCCCATGTCGATCGCCATCATCTCGATAAACGTGTTCCATCCTGCGCATTGGCTGAGTAAGAGACGGGGGTGGATCAAGGAATAAATTCTCCTCCCGCTCCTGCCGCCCTATCACCCTTCAGGCATCCTCCGATCTGTGTCCTTAACCCTATCCCCCTCAATCCACAAAGCGACATCCACATCCACATCCAAAATCCAAATCCAAATCCATACATCAAATTCGACAATGCCGAAGAATCAGAGAATTAGAGAATCGAAAAAAGAGTGAGATAAGGGGTCAGAAGCTGTAAATCAAGCTGGTCTCTTGCGTTCGTTGTTGTAGTTTACACATCATGGCTCCTCCGACTCATGGCCAATTATCCTATCCCTTCAACGCTAGATACCGGTTCCTTTTGTTTCTGTTTTTGTTCTCCTTCTATTGTAAAGTAGACTACATATCATATATACCCCACTGGGCGAACAGTAATCGTAGGATCTAGAGATTAAAATGCAACATATACACTTGACTTCCGTCGTTGACACTTGACAGTCAGCGCTGGCGCAGTCGGTGCCTTGTCCCAAAGTCAAGAGGTCACCGCTTCCCAGCTCCCGAGACGCGCTTCGTTCTCGCGAGATCCAATAATCCCCGTCTACCTTTGTTTTTCCCATTCCCTCTTTCTTTCAGTCGGTACTCAAGGTATCATCAGACTCGGCATCGCAAGCATCACAAGCAGAAGCAGAGGATTAGGGGCAGCACAAGATGTCCCACCAAGATAGCCGAGCGCGCGTCCGCGCCGAGCCTTCCACGTCCCCTCCACCCCTTGTTCGGGATAGTCCTCCGACCAACTCCCCTCCCCAGCGCCGTGGTGTGTCCACCTGCCTCTCTTCCCCAACCAAGTATGTATACGATACTGACCTTCTGCATAGATGGAAATGGCAGCAAAGAAAGAGACGTCAAGAGCCAGAGAGCAGCTGGGACGGACCTACCGACGGCAGCAGAGCTGTTTGTACCTTCATTACCGGGTATACCGAATTTGGCTACGCATCCGACGTATGTGCCCTTCCCCCTTTCTCTTATTCCTTCTTCTAGGCCTTGAGTCTTGGAGGTCGAATAGTCCGGAGCGATCGATGTGACCTCTGAAAGGTCAGGATTGTCAAGGATACTGGCTTTGCTCCCGCTCTATCCGTTTCGTCTCTGGAGATATATCCAGACGGAGCGGGAGAAAGCGACAGGACAAAGCTCTCTGTGGTTATACGAAGGACGAAGGATGAAAGACGAAGAACGGCGGACGGACCGACGACGGACAACCGAGGCGCAAAGACAACGTCGGAAAGCAGAATGATCACAAGCTGACACCTTACTCATTTAGACATCCACTACAAGTATACGCCGGAATGCTACCTTCGTACCCTGGAGAAGGAAATGGAGGTGGAGAAGGGGATGTGGGGAAGGATGCCAAGCTGTTGTATGTCCTCTTTCTTCTATGACTGTTTTTCCCTTGCTCTACTCCTTGACTCGCCACCTCCTCCTGGGCGGGCTGCCTCTTCGACTCTTACTTCCCCTCCCACACCCAACTCTCCACCTCATACCTCTCCCCTCGCCCCGATCGAAGGCTGACACTCTCCCAGCTTCCTCATGTCCAAAGCCCGACGCTCCGCCGGTCCCCAACGCCTCATATTCTGGTTCAACGGCGGGCCCGGATGTAGCAGCTTCGATGGAAGTCTGATGGAAGTCGGACCCTTCCGTACCGTCCCCGCCTCTGAGACCACATCCGGCAAAGTGGAAGTCAAGTTGGTAGAAGGCGGGTGGGAAGAGTTTGCGACGGTGGTATTCGTGGACCAGCCGCCGGGAACTGGGTTCAGTTATGTCCCCACGAATGGGCATTTACATGATTTTGACGAGGTATGTGCATTTAAAAGAGAAAGGAAAAGGAGCTGATGAAAGTAGTTATGCGCGCATCTGATACAATTCCTCCAAAATTTCTATACCGTCTTCCCCGAGTTGTCCGGTATCGACACCTACCTCGCAGGCGAATCGTTCGCCGGGCAGTACATCCCCTTCTTTGCCGATGCCCTCCTCAAAACACCTCTCTTACCCCATTTCCCTTTGAAAGGTATCGCCATAGGAAACGGCTGGATCGACCCTATAGAGCAGTATCCTGGTTATGCGGATTTCGCTTATGAGAAGGGTTTGATCAAGGAGGGGAGCGCGGAAGCGGATGCCTTGGAAGCTGCATTGGCAAAGTGTAGGGAAGAGATGGAAAAGTATAAGGATCCGTTTACGACGCCGGTGAATATCAACAACTGTGGGGAGGTTATGGATGCCGTTTCGGACCCTTTTACTCAAACGTGAGTCTTTCTACCCGTCGTTGAGGGAAAGCGGGCTGATGGAGGATGTAGATTGAATGGGAAGAAGGTGTGTATGAATGTGTATGATGTGAGGTTGGTGGACGACTGGCCGGCTTGTGGTATGAACTGGCCCCCAGATTTGTCGGACGTCTACGACTTTCTCCGCGTACGTCGCCCTCACCCTTCACTCTCTTTCCAAGCTAATATGTAGTAGCAAGACGAAGTCATCTCTGCCCTCCACGCTACGGCAAAAGAAACCGCCTGGGTCGAATGCGATACCAAAGTATCCCACGAACTACACCTCAAAAATTCACATGCCTCTTCCGCGCTCTTACCCGGCATCCTGGAAGCGGGCGTGCCGGTGATGCTATTCGCAGGAGCAGAGGATTTGATCTGTAATTATAAAGGTATCGAGAGGATCGTTGGGTCTTTGGAATGGCATGGCGAGAAAGGTTTCGGGGTAAGTCCTCTTACACACTCGAGAAAGACAGAGCTGATGAGAGGGTAGAACGCGACGAGCCAAGAATGGTACCTCAACAACACCCTCGTAGGCAGCTGGCAATCCTCCCGCAACCTCACCTACACCAAAGTCGACGCTTCCTCCCACATGGTCGGATTCGACGTACCGCAAGTCACCAACGACATGATCATGCGCTTCATGGGCGTCGACCTCTCGCTCTTACCCGGGGGTATCGCGCAGTGGGAGAGCCGAGTAGGGAGTGATGAGCGCGTGGGACTGCATCTTGGGGAAGGGAAAGGGGACGGAGGGATGGCGTTGATAAAGGGCGGCAAGACGGATTGGGAGGCGTGGTATAACGCGGCATCGGCGTTTATCGTGCTTGGTGTCCTCGTCGGTATCGTGGGGCTGTATTTCTATTTCAGGAAGAAGCCGCCTCATCGCCGAGCTGGACGGAAAGGGTCCTATAGACGAGAGAGGCAGTGGGATAGGGGCAGGGAGGCAGAAGAAGGGGATGCGGCGGAGAGGGTACCGCTGGGGAGTGAGAGGGTGGAGATGGAGGATATAGAGAGGGCGGAGGGGTATGAGTTTGAGGAGCGAGAGGGCTCGACGAGGTGGAAGGGGAAAGGAAAGGGCAAGGGGAAGGAGAGGGAAGAGGGCGAGGTGATGTTTTCGTTGGGGGAGGATGAGGAGGATGAGCACAAGTAGAGGGTTGTATAGATAACATTTCGCTAGGGGCTTTCTGCACAAGGTGTTTGATACGCTCGCTTCACATCACAGCAGTGCATAGCGCTAGAAGGTGGCCTCCCATACATGTACAAGCCGATGGCCTCCGCCCTTTTCTTCCGGCCATTCTAGCTCCTTGTCTCCCACTCTTGAAAACCCAGCCTTGCGAAGCACAGCACCAGATGCTCCATTCTCAGGCTCATGGACCTGCGGAACGTTAGTCACAGTGGTCCCGCAAGACGGAGCTATCACTCACCCCTGTAACTCGCTTTGCACCAAACCATCTCAGATAATCAACAGCGGCCTTAGCTACAGCACTTCCCACCCCTTTGCCCCAGACCTCGGGCGAGAGGTCATACGCAATCCACCAGTCGCCTTCAGTTTCATAAGGACCGAGAAAGACCGTCCCAAGTAGTTTGCCAGTGTCGGCTTCGCGCAATGTGTTGAAAGGGCAGATGTTGTCGGTGTAGGGTATCAATGGGGCTGGAGGAGTGGGTAAGGAGGATATTAGAGTGGCGAGGTATGCTTGTTGAACTGGCAATTTCTCGAGTGCCTTGCTTATTTCCTCAGCTGGATATGGGAAAGGGCGGCGCCAGAACCATTTGCCAATCTCTGGTGTATTGTATAGCTTCACCTATCACATCCCGTCAGTACTGGGTGTTGCCAAGGACAAAAGACTCACAAGGGCATCCAAGTCGGTCGTTTGACGGGGAGCCAGACGCAAGCCGGGGTGATCTGGTAGGGGAATGTACGCGCTGCCGTCTGTATCGACTACGATGGGACATGTGGGTGTTGCGGTGGCCATCTGTGTTTTTAATGTCGTGGGATGGTCTTCAAGTTTTATTTATTTAGAGAGCTGTGAGATGCTATACATGGGCGAGAAAGAGGACAAGATGAGTCAGAGTGCACCACATGTAACCATTCTTCAGGGCTGGCGGGCTCGGGGATCGGACATGGCCGTCGCCGAGTTATTTGGTTCCAGACTCCAGTCGCTGACTGGACGCCGTGAAAACAGCTCTGACGCCACGATGTGAGGTCACTGGCAAGCTCCCGGCTGGACAAATACTGCGGGGGCTTCTATCGTTGCGCAGAAGCATGTGGCTGTCCTCCCGGTTCGCCTACCATGTCATTCTTCTTCCACCAACAACTCCTCGACGGACGTATGGCTAATATCGTCATCTAATTTCATATCGTTCCGTGCACAATATCTTGACATCAGTACTATATATCGACAGACGTCACGAATGACTTCACTCACAAGATTGAATGAGAGTTCTTGGTCCAAGAAGGATTGTATCAGTCCATGTTGACCTTCGTTGAAAGGGACGGCGGAGAGAAGATGGTGCGGTATCGTCAAAGGAGAGACTGTCGGCCAAGATACGAGAAACTCTGGGTCGCGTGACCGACAATGGATGCTTTGGATACTTGACCCTGACTCCGCCCACAAGTCTTGACCTGCCTATGGACCCAGCGTATAAATCATCCACGACAATCGATCAATCAACTGATAGACACTGACTCACCTCGCCCTCATTGGGATCTTGATTCCGAGTATTCCTTCCGTCGATTATCTCCCAACCATGTCCATGGCAAGCTACAGCACTACCACTCCTTCCCAAGAAGCGCAGCTGGGGGGGGCTATCGCACGATCTAGACTCTCGTCCGAGGCATGGATCGAAAAGAGTACGCCAACGTCAGATGATCATGGCTATTACCGCAAGGCAAGGGGTCTGAACTACATGCTGCAGGAGGAGAAGAACGACACCACCGGTGTCTATCAACAGGCCGTAGAAAGTGTTGGTCCTTGCAGGGCACGCGTTCTATCGGCTGCCACCTTTCTTCCTGTGAGAGGTATAGTTGAGAGGGCAACCGTGACTGCTCTAGCACCCTCCGATGTCTATGCAGAAGAGGACAAGGAAGAGATGGAAAAGGCCAACAAGATAAACACCGATGTGCGCCATGCCTTGCAGTCTTCAGCGCCCGTTTGGCTTGCCGAATGTCGCACCCGCCAAAGTGCGGAGCCTCTCAAAGAGACGGAAGCACGCATATTCGAGGAACTCTCAAAAAAGGAAGAGTACCATGGCGTCGCTTTGGAGCATCTCGAGCCAACCAGTGCCAACTTCTCTGGCTATTGGCACCCCATTTCGGAGCTTTTGGACAGATCCGAGGTCGCACCGGAGGATATGACGCAGAATGAATGGCACCTTTTCATGCTGAAGCGAACACCTCTCTCAACGGAACCAGAGACCGCAGGGAACAGGGACGATACAAATACATCACTCTATGATGCCGAAGAAGCTCAGGATGGTGACGATGGATTCTGGGTAGGTGAGAGACCATTGGCAGCCAGATCTTGGGAAGATCAGGAGGCAGACCCTCTGCGAGCGCAGCCTATTGGGTCATTCTATCGAGGTACAGATGCTTCCTTGGAAATGTCGACTGTACCATTGACGGGCAAGCCCACTAAGAGACGGCTGAGGGACATCTTTTACAGAAGAGAGCGGAGTTTAGATCAGAATAGCCCGAATCCTGGGAGCAACAATAGGATATCGCGTATGTTTGGCTCAAGGGGTCGCTGAGCTATGTATGTCCCGCCGAATCCAATGTATGCCGCTGGAGGCTTGATCATCTTGGCGACACCTTTCAATAAAGTACATGATTTTCCTGTGTAGATACAGAAGTCAAGGTCGGGTAACAAATCAGTCCAACATCCAATGCAGCGGGACGGGATATTCAGCAACCTGCAGTGATTGTACTCGTCCAATATTTCCATCTTGCTTCATCATCTTCATCTTGAGTAACACATCATTGAGGCCGGTCATCTCTAGACTCATGCTCGACATATACCTATCTGAGTAGAAATCATATCATCTGCATTTTCCAATCACTGTGGCAAGCGATTGACGTGTGTGCAGATACAGATGTTCAAGGAGCAGATTGCGGCAAAAGACGACGAAATACGGTCGTGGGCGTGATTATCATCAGCAGAACACTGAGAATTTTTGATCGGCCATGGGAAGTATGCCTGAGCAGAGTTTTGAGTGGAAGGATTGAAGATTCAACAAATTTGATGATAATCATGTATATATGTTGAACCACTATTGTTATCATCCGTTCGCTATTTTGTTGGCAATAAGAGGTTCATCTTCTACCTTTGCTTTCGTGGGTCTCCTCTCCACCTCATACTTGGAGAAAAATATATTACACCCAAAGCTCAAGCAGCCTTCTCGGTTCCACCCCTTCTTTGTATCTGGGAAAGCAACGTCGTCAGTCTGAGTCGTCCGAGTGGTTCAATATTCCTTTCATGAGCGGAGACGACAGCAGCCCTCTCAGTACAAAATTCGCAGATTTGAACAAGGGACAAAAGCTGAAAGCGTGTTCTCCGCTCTCTTGTTGTATCAAAAGTAGACGACCATAGACGACGCGGACGGTGATTGCATGAATTCCCAGCAACTATATGACGCCAGCCATCATAGATGATTTCTTGATTGTGTGGTACCATCATTTTCACAATCTGCTCACTGAAATAATGTCGTCTCAATATTCTGCCCACATGTGGATCGAGCTTTCGATTGACTCCGAGAGCCTTGAGGTAGACCGCCGCGACCAGACGCACGTTTTAGATTGCGCCCCGCTTGATCATGTCACTCACGTTTTCACCGCGAGTGATATACAAGGATCTCTCATCGACGCATCAACGGGACAGCCGTACCGGTCATTTGTGATATCCGCGACGGATATGGAACCGGAAATAGCTCTATTCCACGAAACGTTTACTACCGTCAGCAAAGAAGACGATGCTGAGCGTAAAACGGAGGCTGTACAGAGAGCAAACGGTATGATGAGTGACATTAACGAGATTCTTCAAGAAACAGAAAGCGAATGGTATCCTCAAGTTCTCCAATCTCGGGACGTTGGAGCTTTCAATAGGCAGGAAAAGCAAGCTTACGAAAGACTCTCCGCTTTGGAGCAGTATGAAGGGGTGGGCTTTGTCAAGGTACCTCTGGACACCGCTCGCGCCGTGTCGAGAATCAAACCGGATCATATTGGGGCCGAGGAATGGGAGATTTACTTGAGGGAGTGGGATGCTGCGCGAGGGTCCAGCAGGCAGCAGGAAGAGGGAGGAGGGACGACGTTGTCTCGCCGATCGAGGTTTTCGCAGAAGTTGAGGACTTTCTTTCGTAGCCATGGTTAACAAGACGTCATGAACACTCTTGATACCTTTCTCGGGCTCCCTTATTGGAAAGTCATCACGCATCTGGAACAGTACTGTGCTGCTTTGTTGTGATACGGTAGAGCACATGTGCCGATTGACACTCGTCCGGTCAAAAGCATCATCAACCTCGTCACTTGTGTAGCATTCTAGTTGTGCGCTATTTCCAGTCAGTACTATGCCTTCACTTCGGATTTTGGTGTGGGCGAAGAAGGCGATTCGAAACAATGGTGGCTGTTCGCGAATCCTTTGATGGCCAAACGAGGTTGGTAGTCTATGATTCTCATTTCGGCCTGTGTTTTGTCTTCTATCTTCCTTCTATTCTGGGCACGAGGCCTATCGGGTGATGGCGGAATAGAACGGTGTCATTTCTGGGTGACAATATTCCCTATCCTCTTGACATGTAGTAAGCACTGTTGAAAGGTGTCTTGGAAGAACAGTCTATTTATAAGTCATTGGGGAAAATGTTCATGTATACACAGTAACTCCCCACATCCTGCATACAACTATCAACATGGTAATTACCTCAAGTGACCGCACATGGACAGCACCATTCTCTCGAATTCAATGGGACGAGGATATACACAGAGCCGACAAGTCTCACTTCATGTTTGAGGACAAAGATGAAGGATGTCTCACATAACTGCCTATATCATGTCAACCATCTGCCCCGATGTCAGCCGCAGATCTATCACGCGAAAATCCTTCATAGTCCTTCGTGCTATAGACGGCATCAGCTGGAGTGACTGTGCTGCGTCTCTAAAGACTGCCACCCAGATGAATGACGACATCACTGAACGTCTCGATAAGTCCATGGATGATTGGTTCCCCCTTACATTGGCAAGCGACGATCCGGTCTTCCTGAAAAAGCAAGAGCAGACAATTGTGTTGTCTTTATTGGAGGGTAATGAGGCTTACAGCTGTGTGCGGGTCTTTACTGTTGGCCAAGACCTGTTTGCAGATGTGGCGAATATGAACCGGAATGGAGGTCTTTATCAAGCCGGCATCGCTTCTGCTCCTGCGGGCAGCGATGATGATCTCGTTCTGAATGTTTCAGTACCAACGACCTTTACCGAAACAGCTCCGGGCGGTGAGGAGGTAGTACGTATCGTTCAGTAGTGAGGGTTGGTTTCAAGACCGAGGAAGAATGAAGTATGTGCATGCCATTTCATGAGAGACCGTGCACCATGCCAGTCAGCCAATGAATGGTAATCGATCTGCAGAAGTTGATTCGCTTGAGAAGAAGGATAGATGGCTGTTTCTTCTAGACTGACTATCATGACATTTGCAGAGGTTTACGATTTGGAGAGTACTTTCCGTTTCTGCCCTCTTGCACTGTGCATGTACCAAACCACTCACCCTTTTTGGTCACCCAATTCAAAGATAGCCGAATACAAGAAGCTATCGCAGATATCTCTGAAAGGAAATTGAACCGTTCGCGAGACATTGGGTACACTTTACCACATTGTTCTGTGATCACGAGAATCTACAGATCAATTGATCCCTCCTTCTTGTCGCATCAGACCAGATACCATGATAGGAGGACGATCTCGTTCCCGCCGACGACACTTTGTGCTTTGAATTTGAGCTTGGCAAGTCGATCTAGTAGTATGAATCAAGACATCTTTGACGGTCTCGAGAGGACTAGAGATGACTGGCTGTATGAAGCGTTCACAAACAAGGATCCAGAGGTGCTGACAAAGCAGGTGGAGGAGTCGTTGTCGCCGTTGTTGGCCACCCACGATGACTATAACAGCGTGCAGATACTTTCTGTGGGGTTTGATGATTTCAAGCTTGCTGAATCTGCCGTCTATGAGGAATGATGGACCAGCTCTTTTCTGTTTGCGTTGTTAAGGGAGTGTCACGTGGCTGTCGCCACTCGACCCAGAAATATCTCGAAGCATCTAGAATAATCTTTGCCGCTCTGTTGGCCACTGTAGAAAACACTGGAAGGTCATGGAAAAGGGATACGTAGGCTTGAGGCTGGATATAAATACCACACTCTTTCATAGCTTTTAGATACTCTGTCGATCAAATATTGTTGTCTCTTCAAACACAAGCGTCCATGTCCTCCGGCATTGGCTTGGCTACCTCTCATGGGCCTCAAGTCATTTCGACTCACCTCGACTACTACAAGGGCATCGCTAGAGGTCATGGACCCGTGTGACAGGGAGGGTGAAATCCTTTTACCCGCCAGTTGCAGCGAACAAGATCAGCCGTAGCAGTGATGATGGATGATATCTTCTATCGCATTTCTACCGTATCAACGCAGGCTCTTCCATGACTGCATGAGCATACGTTGCCTACACATCAAGGTTGTCAGTCAACATGGAGAGTCAACCTCTTCAACTCTTTCGCTCTTTCCTTCTTATATCTTTCGTACGCATAGTTTACAAAGGCCCAACATCGTGGACTCTTGTATCCTCAATCCAAGATACCCCTCGACATTGGCGGCTACCCGTCACACACCTTCTTGAAGAGTTATCGGTCGCAGACTCTCCTCATCGATCCATTGTTTTGACAACAGCTGCTATCGTATCGCTTGGCGCTGTCTCTCGAGAGATTTGAGACCAAACTCAGCGCTGTCTACTTGTACAATCTGAAACTTCTGGATGACGTCTCTCAGCTCTCCTCTCAGCCCACCCGTACGGACGAAATCACGCGACTGACGACTGACAGTGGGTTGAAGCCAGGCTACACGAAGGCCGAAGGCGCTTGCTTCCGGATGACCCGTTCAAGGACACGAGAGGGCACAAACCGTTACCTCGTTAGATAAGCTTTCAGCTAGCTATACGATGCTTCTTGGTTCTCAACGGCGTCCAGGAGTTCCCATCTGCTCTGACGATTCACGTTGAGTGAAGCGTGGTCGGGTCGGATGAACGTTGTTTGCTGACTTGTAGTCACCGTCACTTGCTAATCAAGTAATCAAGTACCTCTACTCCAACCAATCTGCATGGCAGTCGAACGAGATACCCCTCCTCGCTATCCTCTTAGTCCGTCGCCGCAGTATGAAGAACACCCTTGACGATCTTTCTCGCGAGCGGCGGCCAAATCGAAGCCAAATAAACAGTCGCCGAAAGAGGAACAGCTCGATGGGCGTAATTGAGCAATGACGTAATTGGATTGTCTTGGCGCTTTTTTTGTGTCAGCCGCGAGCGGCAATAGGACAAAGATAATAATTAAAAGAGAGCCATCGCCATCCCGCCCATCTCCTCCATCGCTCCCCTTCCCCTGTCCCCCGTGCCCACCCGTGCACGATCATCCAACAGCCTCCCTCACAAGCTCCCTTTGAGCTCTCGGCAGGCACTCGTCAACACGGTCCACACTACGGCCAATTGCATCCCCAGCTTTTGAAACCGCATCTACAACAGACCCATAATGTAAGTCGGCCCTGTGCACATGGACAATCTGACGCTTGTACAGGGACGCTACCTCTCCCCGTGCCAAACATCGCGCCGAGCATCTCGCTCGAGACGCTGCAGCCGCATCACACGCCTCCTACTACGCTCACCCCGCCCTCCATCTACACACCTACCTCGGCGGCGACAAACAGCCTGCCGCAGTCGACCGGGAGGGCCAGCCCATCGGTCCCCTCAACGACCCCGCCCAGCCAATCGCTCAAGGCCCGGAAGGCTCTGCGCCTCCCACAGGCGCGCCCACCAAACCCGGCGCGGGCGTCCACAACATTCCCGGTGTCAATGCCAACACCGAAGCGGACCGCAAAACGGGTATTGAAGGCACAAAGGAAGAGGAGGGCGGAAAGCAGGATGCTGGTGCGCCCAGTGGGGTTGACAAGGGTGCGCTGGAGATTGGCGGAGAGGCTGGAGGGACCAAGACATCGCCTGGGCCGACTGCCGAGCAGGTGCAGCAGCATCGGGCGCAGGAGGAGCAGCAGCAGAATGGCAACCGTCTGGATGTACCAAATGGCCGGCCTGGGCTTGAGAGGCATTGGAGTGTACAAGGGAGGATGAACCCGCATCTGCAAATGATGTGCGGGCCTCTGATCTCGTACTATACCGTCAAAGACGACATCTGGCAAGGTGCTGCCATGGTCGTCATCCGAAATGAGTACGTCCGTCCTTGTCTCTCCGTTCTCCACTGACCAAATGCAGAGGTTCGGTCCTCAACCCCCCACCTGCCCTTTCTCTCGCTTTCCACCCCTACACCCCTCCCTCTGACGACCAACCTACTCTCCACGAGCCCGACGTCCAGCTTCTCCCGCCTGCCACCATCCCCTCCCAAAACATCTACACCTACAACTCTCCCGAAGGCGCCATGTCGTTCCACAGATTCATCATCGAGGTGCCTCTTCAGCGGATCCAGACGACCGTGCGGTATAGCTTGAACGGCGGGGCGGCTATGGACTTTGTGGTACCAGCTTTGGGGCAGAACCTGCGGTGGGCAGCGCACAGTTGTAACGGTGCGTACTCATATTCAGTTTGAGTTAGCGCTGATAGCCAGTAGGATTCTCTTCCGGTGTCAACCCCGACGACTTTAAGGGTTCTTATCCATCGGGTTACGACCCAGTATGGGAAGACATGCTTCTCAAGCACCAGGAAAAGGCGTTCCATTGTATGGTTGGTGGTGGCGATCAGATTTACTGCGACGCCATCACTCGGGAGCCCGAACTGCAAAATTGGATCAATGCCCCGGATAGGAAGAGCAAGTTGGCATCCCCCTTGACTGATGAAATCGTCCGTCCATCTCTCATTCTAAAGATGATTTCGAGGTTGACTGTTGTTATAGAGACTTGCCGTTGACAGATTCTACTTTAACCACTACTGCAAGATCTTCCGAAGCAACGCCTTTGGCCGTGCCAACTCCACCATCCCCATGTAAGCTTTTCCATCGCGTACTAACACGTGACACAGCTGACGGACGATCCAACAGGGTCAACATGCTCGACGACCACGACCTGATCGACGGTTTCGGCACCTACGACGACGAAACCCAAGCCTCCCCTCTCATGTCCCACGTCGGCTCCCGCGGCTACTTTTGGTTCCTCCTCTTCCAGCTCTTTGTCCATGACGGTTTTGACGGCGTCGACCCCACACCGGGTACGCATGTCGTCAAGTCTCTCGTCTTGGGCGACAAGAATGGGCCGTGGATCCCGCACCCGACACATTCGCTCTTGGTGTACTTGGGGCCGAAGGTGGGGATGTTGGCGCTGGATTGTAGGGCGGAAAGAAAGTTGAGCGAGATTGTGAGGCCGGAGACGTATGCGAAGAATTTTGCGGAGGCAAGGAAGAGGTTTGTGGGTGTTGAGCAGTTGGTGATTCTTCTTGGTGTTCCCATCGGCAAGTCTTCCTTCCCTTTCTTCTTCGCCAAAGATTCCGTGCTGAACTGGAAGCTCGTAGCGTACCCCCGAATGTCTTTCCTCGAGCATTTCCTCGAACTCAAATGGAACCCCGTCAACATCCTCGCCCGCCACAACGCCATGGGTCTCGGCGGCATGGTCAATAAATTCAACCAAGCCTCCGAGCTCCTCGACGACCTCAACGACCACTGGTGCGCCAACACCCACAAGAAGGAACGCAACTGGCTCGTGCTCGAGTGCCAAAAGATAGCGCAAGAGATGCATGCGAGGGTGACGTTCTTGTCTGGGGACGTGCATCTGGCGGCGGTGGGGTGTCTGTATACGAAGGGGGCGAAGAAGGGGAAGGGGGGGTTGGAGCCGGAGAGGGATTGGAGGTACATGTTGAATGTGGTGACGAGCGCTATTGTTAATACGCCTCCGCCTGGAGGCGCGGCCAAGATGGTCGCCATGCTCGGTGGACATACTCATCGTACTCTTCGTATGTCTCTTACTTTCTCTTTCTCTTTCGTTCCAAAGCTAACGAGGGGTACAGACAAACACGACACCGACGAACACATGATCCCGCTATTCAAGACCGACACCGACGGTTCACCTCTGTCCAAACAGTTCACCCTCGCGCGCCGGAATTATACCATCGTCGAGTACCAGCAAGGCGATGGGAGCTTGAGCTTTGATATCCGGGTGGAGAAGAGTCAGGGTGCGGGAGAGACTGTTGGGTATGAGGTCAAGGCGCCCGCGCCGAGGTGGTAAGAGTGATTCTCCCAGGGTCGATGAGAGATTAGGAAAGTGGTAATTGGTCTCAATGGGATAGTAGGGATATATTCCTTGTAGCTCATATACAGCTTGTTTAATATACCGTTTATACCCCGCCGATAGGTTTCATGTACACGAACGAAACGGAAACAAAAGTAGTGATAATCATTTTTTGCCTTCATAGGACACTGGAAATGCATTTGTATACTTCATGTTCATGCTTTGTCTACATATGTCATCCACGATACCTATGCGGTCTTGCTGACAAGACTGGAGACGAAGACGCGACACGTCTAGACAGCTCCGGCAGCAGCAATCAGGATCTTGTCCCGCGGCATCTTGCCCTCTTTGTTGCCTCGCGATTCGATCTCCTTGATGATATCATACCCTTCAATCACCTCGCCAAAGATGACATGTTTGCCGCTAAAATCACAACCTCAGTCAGCCATATCCCCAAAGACGCCTGGGGTGTAAAAGCGTAAAAGCACTTACTCGAGCCACTCGCATTCGTCGACGGTGGTGACAAAGAATTGACTCCCGTTCGCATCTTTGCCATTGTTCGCCATGGCGAGTATGCCTTCTTTGTCAAACTTGAGCCTCTCCCTCTTTTCCACTTTCTTCTCCCCATCGTTCCCCCCATCCTTCTCCTTCTCTCCATCTTTCTCTCCATCTTTATCCTCCTCCTTCCCCTCCTTCTCCTTCTCTTTCTGCTCCTTCTCCTTCTCCTTCGCCCTCACAGCACTCGGCAAAGGCCCTCCAAGCCCAACCTTCTCATCCGCAAAAAGCTCCCCATAGATCGATACGCCCCCCGTCCCATCACGGCGCTCGAAATCGCCGGATTGGACCATGAAGCCCGGGATGACGCGGTGGAAGGGCGTGGAGGGGGCGTAGGCGAAGGTGAAGGGGAGGGGGGAGCCGTCGCATGTCTGTGGATTTGGGATCAGCTTTGCTTTTGAGTGCGAGGGCTCAGTTAAAGAGTGTAAGGAACAGTGCGGCGTACGAGACCGGGGCAGAGAGCTTTGAAAGTAGCCGAGACGTTCGGTCCAGGTCGCTAATATCCCATTGTCAATTCCAACCGTCAACAACACTGAGCTTGCCACAGAGGCTAAAGTACAAGTATTGTCAAGACGTTAGAAGAAAGGGACTCACGCGACCGGTACAAAGACTCCTAAAGTTCGCACATGTCTTTGGACAAAGATCATCATACAACTTGTAGACGATCCTGTCGTTTCCTGGGGAGGTTTTGAATGGTTTGCCGTTGATGGAGATTTTCATCCACACATTACTGTTACCGATACAGTCAGCGACAAAGACCACGCAAGAGGAGGATGGCAAGGAGGGTGAGGGGGAGGGGGAGAGGGAGAGGGAGAGGGATGGGGACATACGGCAAGTCCAACTCTTCCTCTTCCTTCTTCTCCTCCTCAGCGGGCTTAGGGTTTTGGGTCTTCTTCTCGTCGGCCATAGTTTCTTATCTCTTATTTCTTATCGTGATTGACGTTGATGTGTGAAGAGATGAGCAGCCTGCTTTAGCAGTTTATATAGGCGTCAAGGCAAGACAAAGGCTGCCGCCGACTCGCGCCCCCCACCCCTTACACTCCCCTAGCGCTGACTCCTGTCAGAGCTCTTCCTTTGTGTGAGCTGTGGAAATCTGTCAGGTCGTCATGCGGTCTAGAGTGTCCTTTGTGGTTGGTTGGTTAGGCGTAAACCCGCCAAGAGCCGAAGGAACGAGATTTGGAAAGGGGGACTGATGGTTGGTTGATGTACCGTCAGTCTTGGTGGTCAATGTAGGCGTGAATGAAGAGCACTTGACATCAAAAACCCCAGCGTCCCGACACGAACCAACCCCCGTCCTCCAGCTCTTGCAAGCCGGGCTGCGCCCCCTCCCGATACACCTGCTCCCCTCTTCCCAAGCACAAGCACAAGCACGCACGACATCACGACTTAATCATTTTAGTGAGATTCCTGTGGTATCCGCTACAAGGTCAAGTAATCTTGCCAATTGTCTTTCGTTCTTGTTTCTTCCTCCTCTATCTGGTCACTCTACATTCGTTTTCATGCTTTTGACTAGCTTTTTATTCCATTACCTCCATATAATCGCTATCGCAACCACCTTAAAGAGCGGAAGCACCCTACAAAACACCATTAGCTTCTGGTAGGGAAGGGGGGAGGGATGCAAAAAACGTACAGTGATAATGTCGATAAGCTCGTTGGTGATGACGGCCTGTCGACCACGGTTGTACTGGAGCTGGAGGGAACCCATCATGTCGAGAGCGTTCTGTTGACACGTCAGTATGCAAACTTTGCACGATTCCCCAGCCCCCGTTCAATGTCACAACACCGGGCACAGACGCGAATACTCACGTTGGAAGCGTTCTCCATGGCAGTCCTCCTAGCACTAATCTCGGCAGCGTGACCCTCAACCAAAGCAGTGTAAATCGCATTGGCGAGCGCAAACTCGGCAAGGTCCTTGCTCACATCCTCCTCCATCTCATACGCCTGGAACCCAGCGGCCTCCTGCAGCGCCTTGGCCGAAATGACCGAAGTGATCCTCGGCTCGTACGAGATAGCCGAGAGATAGTGGTTGGACACAATCTTGACCTGGTCCCACTCGCCGCCGTGCTTGACAATCTCGTCCGCGACGGCACTGGCCTCGGCGAAAGTGGGCACATCCTTGCCGATGGAGTTGAAGGAGATCTTGAAGGCCTCGGGGACGGCACGGGAGAGCTGGGCCTTGGGCTTGTCGCCGATGACGGCGAGGGTACCGGGGGTCTTGGTGATCTCCTTTTTGATGAATCGGGAGATGGAGGAGTGGATACCACCGCAGAGACCGCCGTCGGAGGTAATGCCGACGTAGAGGATCTTGGGGTCGGCCTCGGACTCGACCTCGGCGTGCTTAAAGAGCTCTGCTTTGATGTTAGTGGGGGACGGTGCGGGGAGGGAAGGGACGGGACGGACCGTTGTTGGCGGCACCGTACTTCTTGGCCTCTCGCATGGCCTTCTCGGCACGGGTGAGCTTGGTGGAAGCGACGACCTTCATAGACTGCGACTACTGTTAACACCGGTCCCCACTGGAGTTACGTATGTCGAATGCGTACCTTGGTGATCTTTTCGATGTTTCGGACAGACTTCAACCTGCAACCGTGTCAGCCCTCTGCCCCATGCCTCTTCCCCTGCCCCAGCCCCTCCCTCCTCATAACTCCACCCCGTCGCCCCCTCCGACGGCATCGCGTCCCCCGGCCGAAGCCCCCGGACTGCCCCCCGACTGGCCCCCGACTCACCTCTGCTCAATCTCCCTGAGGGTGGCCATGCCCTGTTGCTGTTGGGCATTCCTGGCGGTGGCGAGGGCGGGTCGGACTGCGCGGGCGAACATGGTGGTGAGTGGGGGATAGGGACAACGACAAGAGATGCAAGAGGAGATGCGTGAAAAGGCGCCACGGGGAGTAATACCGATAAACCCCGATCTTATCCAGCCCCCGCTTTAACGACTCGCCTTCTATTGTTCCCGTGGTTTTGAGTAATACTTCTGCATATTCCATTTCCACGGTCACTCTCTCGACGTTCGCATAGGACACCCTCATCCAGCCGGATCACCTACCCTAATACATCCATCTCACCGAAAAGTACGCAACAAACGGTTCCATTTTGACCGAGATCTAACTCCTTTTGTTACAGTGGATCCCAATGTCGACTTGTTCGCTGGTATGAAGAAGAAGAAGAAGAAGGTCGCCGTCGCCGAACCTGAAGAATCGTCCGTCTCCCCCGCTCCCGCCGTCGAATCTACTCCTGAGCCTACCCCTACTGCGGCTCCTGCCGCTCCCGAGCCTGCTGCAGAGGCGGCGCCTGTGGCGGAATCGAGCGAGAAGCCGGCAGAGGATGGAGGTGACCTGTTTGCAGACTTGAAGAAGAAGAAGAAGAAGAAGAAGGATATCCCCCTCGACCTTGTGCGTTCCCGTCGCCCCCCTCCCCCTCGAAAGAAGAAAGAAATGCTAACCAGAAGCAGGAGGACGCACCCGCGCCTACCGCCGACGGCCTCGACATCCCCATGAAGAAGAAAAAGTCCAAAAAGACCACCGACTTTTCCAAAGAGCTCGAAGAGCTCGAAACCGAGCAGCAAAACGAAGCCGCCGCCGCCGACGACGGCGACCTCGGCGACGACCCCTTCTCCACCAAAGCCTCCGGCGCCGACCCCTCCGCCAGCGAGCTGCTCGAAGCCGGCAAAGAACCCTGGGTCCTCGAGGCCCGCGAGCCGACGTATGCCGAGCTGTTGAAACGCTTCTTCGCCCTCCTCCACGCGCACAACCCCGAGCTTGCGGGGGAGAAGCGCAGATACACGATCGTGCCGCCGCAAGTGCAGAGGGAGGGCGCGAAAAAGACGAATTTCGCGAATGTGATGGATATCTGCAGGAGGATGAGGAGGCAGCCGGAGCATGTGATCATGTTTTTGTATTCGGAGTTGGGTACAACGGGGTCGGTGGATGGTACGCAGAGGTTGGTGATGAAGGGAAAGTTTACGCAAAAGCAAATCGAGAATGTCCTGAGAAAGTACATTGGTACGCTTTCCCTTTTCTTTCTCTTCTGAGTCCCTTGAACTGATGAAAATGGCCAGTCGAATACGTCACCTGCAAAATCTGCAAATCCCCCGACACCATCCTCGGCAAAGAGAACCGTCTCTACTTTATGACCTGCGAGTCGTGCGGGTCTAGACGTTCCGTCTCGGCTATCAAGGCCGGTTTCCAGGCCCAGGTCGGGAAGCGTATCAAGACTGGATAGTCTGCTCTTTCCGTTTGGGCTGTTTGGGGGAGGTGGAGTGTATAGTATTAGATGCATTGATTCAAAGTGCTCATTAAAGAAGACGTGTAACGGAAGAAGGATCGGGGCTTTGAATAGATATCATCACCGGGCTCGCTCGTGCCAATGAAAGGGACCATGTTTGGTTCTAGGACTTTTCGATCCGAGAATAAACGATGCTTTTGTAAGCTGAAACCTCTAGACACACCACCAGTAGAGTGGCCACTGATCTGATATCCATTGTACCCGTTCTGCGTACGTTTCTGCCATCAGGGCCGGTTTCCAGGCCCGGCCTGGCAAGCGTATCAAGACTGGATAGACGCCTCTTCCTGCTGTTGTGGAATGTGAGACTGTGCTAACAGCTTACGATGCATTGACTCAAATCGCTGAAACGAATTGAGATCATCAATCAGACTCCTCATCATAGATCGATGCCCTCTGTTCAAATTCGAGTGCTTCCTCCCACAGCTGTTTAACCGCATCCGTGCTCTCTACACGCACCAGCTGGACTCTTCCCCCTCCAACATCAAGCTCCGAGAAGAGCGCCCCCTCCTTTTCCTGCAGCGCCTCCGCATTCTCCTCTTGGAAGCACGACGCGAGCCACCCATCACCTTGGCCCTCCAGCTCCTCTAGTTTAAGCGATATCAGCCCATCGACCTGATTCACAGCGTCCATCGAAACCTGATACTCAGTCATCGGTATCCTCTTCTCCCCCCTCACAGCAGTGAGCACCGTTCGGGAGAGAGTCTTTGCCGCAGGGTCGAATTCAAAGGCAGAGAGAAGGACCGTGTTCGTGTTAGCCTCCAGGCCAGAGATACCGAGTGACCTGAGGTTGTTTCTGGTCAGAGCTACGGGTCTGGCGCGGCGCTCGCTTTGGGGGTCACAAGCGAAGGAGTTTTCTTCTCCATCTATGACGGTCCAGATCTGTTCGGTAAACTGGGACATGATATCTTCAATCTTCTTCTTGTTGGGCTTTGGGGTGGGATGAAGAAGAGATGGAGGAGGCGGTAATGAGTGTTATATATAATCTCGCGATGGATGTATTTTTGTCAGTTTGACACGCATCGCTCGCCGGCGGTATCGACATCGGTTATCGGGATCGGAGATCAGGTCTGGCGAAGGCCCGGTCACGACTACGCACTCGTCGTAGTGTTGATCTGCTCAAAGGAATAATCGTCCACAGGCAGGGGAGCGACTCGAATAAGAAAGGGACGAGGGACTGAGATCTGAAAGAGTACAGATGGCAACCAAAGCTGAAGCTGAAGCTAAGCTCATTTGTCAATGACAGGAAGATCGTTTAGAAAAACGGCTCTTGCTCCGAGAGCCCGTCGATGGAAGGAGCGAGCCTTCTTCCTCCGGGAATGACCGCTGTGCTAGAAAGGAGGCGCCGACGCGAAGGTATCTTGATGTCTTCCAGGATCACGCAACCAGATCGTCTAGACACGACACGGCGGGAAAAACACTGCTTCGACCCTCCCCTTTCACATCACTGGGCATATACTAGTAGTATTTCTGTGAGCTCGGCCCGTCTCGTGATCAACTGCTCCGGTAAATACTATGTTGGAAGTTCTCAGATCAAATTTCATTCATCATAATCATGCAGTCATCATGCTTCACGTGTAGCTTGTTTCGCATGTATCTGCGTATATTACAAACACTTCGTGTCTTTTTTGGATGTTAAAGTCAAAACAAGCCCTCAAAGACTTCCCATTCAAGGTTGATCATTTCAACCTCTGGATAATCAGTCTGAAGCTCTATGGCAACTTTGGATTGCTCTTTAGACAAAGGCAATGTACTGTTTGTTGCCAAACATGATTCAAGCCACCCCTCCCCATCCGTATCCTCACTTCGAATCACGAGACGATCCCATACAATCTGATCCACTTCGTTTGCAGCCTCAAGAGCGTCTTTGTAAACATCTGAAGGGACGTCCTCACTGGGTTTTCGAGTGGCCGTCAAGCTCCTTCGAGTGAGCTTGTTCGTTTCGGGATCATATTGCAAATTGGTAAGGACGAAACCGTTCGTCAGATGTCTGGGCTGCCCAGTCAATGGCCCCGCTGAATTGTCGTCGTCAAATTCTACAGTCTCCACCCTACCGACTGAGTTGCTTTGGCCTTTGGGAAGCTCGTTGGCGGTCAGGTCGTTGGCGGTCCAAGACTGTTCGGTGTAGTAAGAAAGGTTTTGCGACATTTTTGATAGCTGAAAGTATTGTATGAGCAGTAAATGGAGATATATTTCGGGTCTCAGGTCTGGGAACTGTATGTTATATACCTACAATGTGGCAACAACGAGCGGACTTTCAGTATGAGTATGGCCCGGTAAGCAGGTTCCTTTACAGCCCCATCGGTAGCGAGCCACGAGAGCAGGTGCTTCGAGGGCCTGTATTCTTAGCCATCTCATCTCTTTTAGAAGATCATGAGGAGAAGGGATCAAGTCGGTGAATATGCGTAATACAAGTTCAAGAGATCAAGTGGAGTACTCGAGTAGTCACTGGGTTGCTGGGTATACATTCATGCTGCATGCACCTATAGATCGTCGTCGTCGCCGTGTACATGTGTTTGCACCTCATGGACCCGCAACAAAGCTTCCAAGTACTCCGCATCGACGTTTACTCCTTCGATGTTTGGAAAGTCAACCTTCTGCTCCAATGCCATAGCGCCTTGCTTGTCCTTCAACGCCTGGACACTCTTGTCTTCGATCAAACACTTCGCAAGCCACCCCTCGCCATCTTTACTTTTCTGGATAGGCTGTGCAAGGTCTACCTGAAAGATATCTTCCAACTCATTAGCAGAATCAAGGGCGTTCTCATATGCTATATCTTCGTCGAGATCAACGCCCTCGGAATAGACACGTTGTTCGTGAAAGTTTGTTTTCTTTTGGGTCGTACTTCGACACTGTCAGGATGAAAGCGGTCGATGTTTCTGGGTAATCGTTCTTGAATCAACAGTGATCACCCTGTCCAGTGAGACGGTCTCTGGAGGGTTGGAGATCGCGCTGGCCACGGGATCGGGGTCTGTCCAAGATTGTTGAGTTCGGTACGACATTTCCGGCAATTGTGATAGCTGGAACGGAGATATGGGTACGCTGCTGTGAAGGTTCAGCCTTTCTAACATATTCATAGTTGCGAAGTAAAAGCGGACATTGGTTCTAGTATCGTTTGGGCGTAATCGGAGAAAGGCTCCTCTGTTTCACGGCGGCCATCCGATTTTGGATCAGCGAGCTACGAGAGCGGGTGTGTGGATTCAGATTGGTTTATAGCCACCAAAAAAGGCTGTTTTTGGAAACGTTTCAGAGGGAAAGTTACAATATGGAGTGTGTCTAACACCAAAGCAGCAGCAGCCCTCCAATACATGTACACAAGCGCGTTGTTGCTGTTTCCCCTTGTAGTTGTCGGGTTCTTTTTTTAGAGGAATATATATACTTTTCTCTTCTCTGAGGATATCCGTAAATAAGTCCAGATGATCCGAAAACGACACATCGAAGCCCATCTCTCGTTGCTCGCTCACGCTTCCGGACTGTGTGCTGTGGTATGAAACTTTTGGGGCTGGGGTCATTTCGGAAGTCCTACGATGCGCTTGGTACTTGGGCTTTTTCTCTAGCCTTGATACATCGCAACAGGGTTGAGCGTCTTTTGATATCTTTCTTACAGCAATTGAGTTCGGGGCGGAGCCTCATAGCACTCGCCCTTCACACAATGTACGTGTGTATGCTTTGTCTTCACACGTTCTGCATTACTTTCAGTCGACAAGATCTATTACAAGCTCATGATGGTTTGGGGAGGATTCGCGTCCCATTGTTGCAGATGATATCAGCTGCCGCCGGACTGACAACCGTTGCCACCGTACGCCACAATCTTCCAATCCCTATACCACTCGAAGTCAGGCTGCCAGGCAAGGCAGAGAAACGGCCAAGGAATTTCTCTCGTCATCATCCACTCGCATCTCTCCTATCAAGTCCACGAGCCTCTCCATAGATACACAAAGCTAGGCGTTCTCCCCCTTAACATCTACAGGCTAGTTTCCCACTACTGATCGTCTCCCACCAGATCTGCCATCCTCTCCCAAGGTGTGTTCAACAGCTGCACATTTGGATATCTCTCCTTCGCTTCCGTACACAGCTCATCCTGCGAAAGCTGCAGCGCCTCTGTGTTCTTTTGCTCCACACACGTCCCCGCCCACTCGTGTGTCTCGGCTTTCAACCATTCCCAGATCATTTGATCAGCATCATTCGCATCTTCCAGCGCTTTATACAGCGACTCATCGTCATCATAGTCTGCCACCGGTCTGACCGCCGTTAACGTCTTTCTCGATACCGCCTTTGTGACCGGGTCGTATTCGAGGTCGGTCAAGATGTCCGCTGTCGTTTCAGGGCCAGGGTGACCAGTCTCTGGGAAGACTATAAAGTCTCCTTCGGGTACGACCACTATGACGCTTGCGAGGGACTTGCACTCGTACTCCGATGCATCGATGGGCACCTCTTGGTTTTCATCGTCCTCCCCGGGTTCATCATCGGATGTTGCCTTCTCGGTCCAGTGCTGTTTGCTGTAGAATGACGAGACCAATACCATTTTGGGATGCCTTTCGAAAGGACGGTCGGTGGATTGTTTGGTAGATTTCGATAGCCTTGCTTGTTGGCTTCTCTATTATATACCACCTCCATCCGCCAGAAACTGACTTTTGAGTCGGGGTATAGTGTGTGTAGAATACGAGACCGGTCCTTTCAGCATAGTGCGAACAAGGAAGCTATAAACGTCCTGTTCGTATAAACAGCATGGAGGTGATTTAGATATGCTGAGCTGCCTCGACAATGCTATTTTCAGCTCGCTTGTAGGACAGTTTCGATCTTCTTCCCTTCGCCTCTAGTATTTGCAGAGGGGGGCGGAGCCTGGATCTCGGTACATGTATGTTATTATAGACTATAGACAACCGCTAATTGTGGCTACTGCCACCACAGACCATCTTACTACAGCCCATATCATTATCATCTTACCGGATTCGTCCCATCTCGGTCGTCTTTCCCGTCGTCTTCTCGGTCCCACTTCCACTTCCATGTAAAGACACAATATTCGTAGTGATCAATGCATGGTATAACGGGTGTTCTTCTACTCTCAAATGGACAGTGAATGGATAGCGTTAGGAAACAGAGCCATGTTCATATTGTCGGAAAACCCTATACAGCGGAGAATGATTTGCAGGCTCGCTCCCAAAACAAAGCTGCGACAAATTCCATTGATCCATGCCCTAGTACCTACCTCTCTTTGCAAGCTGCATATCCGGGAACACCTCCGCCCAGTCTTTGGTAGTACTCAGCACCTTGACATGCGGATAATACTCCTCCTGGTCCATATACAGCCCCCGTTGCTTGGTCTTCAACGCCTCCGTATTCCCCTGGCTGAAACACGTGACGAGCCATCCATCGTCCTCTTCTTGTGTCCCCCGAAGTAGCACCCCAAGCTCCAAATCTAGATCATTCGCTCCCTCAAGCCCTTGGACAGATTCTTGATCTGTCACGGTCTGACCGTTGTCGTTGTCGAAGGGGGCGGGAGGTTTCCTGATAGCAGTCAAAGTCCTTCTTGTAAGCGTCTTCTTCTCCTCTTTCTCATCGAATTCCAGGCCAGTCAAGATGTAGGCAGTAGCATCCCCATCATCGAATTCTTCTTCCAGTTCATCCCATATCTCTCGCTGCTCGGAAGGTTCGATGGCAAATATGGTCTCGGTCGCCAAACTTTGGTACGTCGAAGGCTGATTCAGATCGAGTTTGATCCCTTCTGCATGGATCCAGGACTGGGTGGTGTAGTATGAGACTTCTTCTTTTGGCATTTTGGGGTGATGAATTCGGTGTTGGGCGTGCTCTTGATACCTGAAGTTCTTCCTTGACGTTGCTTATATGTGGCGATAGAGTTTGAGGTGGAACTTGACATGCATTCTTCGGTCCTTTCACGCATATGCTCCTCTATCATTAGACAACAAGTTGGAAGGAGTCGATCTGTATCGTAGGATGATTTGAAAGCCCATAATACTACTCCGTTTATATAGAATATGGCAGGCTTCTATCCTCCGACGACAAAACAGCAGAGTTGATTGTGCAATATTGCATTTTCCTATGTTCATACAAAAACAATACTTCTTTCAGGTTCACTTTTCACTTTTTCCCTTCTTCTTTTCATACAACGTTTGTCAAACCCCCATGACAACCCAACCCCCAAAAAAAGAATGACAACCTCGGGACCCGAGAGCGTAGAGAGAGAAGGGAGATTACTCCTTGGCGACTTCGAGGACGATACGACCTGCGATCTTGCCCTCTTCGAGACCCTCGTAGACGCTACATGCAAAAGTCAGCTGCCGCTCAAACAAGGAAAAAAGACAAGACTCACTCCTTGAGATCCGCAAGAGGCCTCTCCTCAAAGATAACCTTCACCTTGCCCGACTCCATCAAAGCAAGCGCCTCGATCGCATCCTGCCTCGTACCCACATACGACCCCTGGATCCTGATCGACTTGAACACTGTCCAGAACACATTGTTGCCCATCTCACTGTTCGGGAGACCGACAGCGACGAGGGTACCAGACGGCCTGAGGTAGTCGATCGCCTGGGTGTAGCCTGTCTTGTGGGAGGCGGTGACGACTGCGGCGGCGGGGCCGAGGCCGCCGGTGGCTGCCTTTACGTCGGCGACGAGGTCTTTGGAGGTCTTGAAGTCGACCCAGGCGTCCGCGCCGAGCGACTTGACGAGCTTTTCCTTGGCGGCGCCCGTGTCGATGGCAACGACCTTGAGACCCATGGCCTTGGCGTACTGGACAGCCAAATGGCCGAGACCACCACCAGCACCGGGGAGGGCGACCCAGTCCCCGACGTGGGTGTTGGAGACCTTGAGGGCCTTGTAGGAGGTGACACCGGCGCAGAGGATGGAGGCGGCGCCGGCAGAGTCGAGGGAGGCGGGGATGGGGGTGACGTGGTTGACGTAGGAGGTGACGTACTCGGCGAAAGTGCCGTCGACGGTGTAGCCGGAGAGCTGGGCGTTGTCACAGTCTATGGCAAAAGGTCAGTAGGGTGTGAGGACGGGAAGCGGGAACGGCTCACTCATCTCGAAACCTCGTCGGCAGGGCTCACAGCTGAGACAAGAGTTGGCAAGCCACTTGATACCAACACGGTCACCAAGCTTGACGGGCGAGTTCTGAGTGTGTTCACCAATAGCAACGACCTTGCCGACACCTGGATTCAAGTCAGCTTCATATCTATGCGACAAAGAAGAAACTCACCTTCGTGACCACCGATAAGGGGGTTCATGGGAGGGATGGGCCAGTCGCCAGCTTTGGCATGCAAGTCGGTGTGGCAGACACCAGTGTGGGAGATCTTGACGAGACACTCTCCAGGCTTGAGGTCCTTGGCCTGAGGGACGGGGTGAGACTTTTCGATCTTGATGGCAGCGCCGACGCTGGGGACGACGGCGGCGGTCTGGGTCTTGGGGACTTGGAAGCCAGAGAGGACAGACATGGTTGTGTTGTTGCTTTGGTGTTGTTGTAGAGGGAGCGGGGGCAGTGGATGGGGAGATAGATGTGGCTGGCGGATTCGCTATATATGTTCGCGAATAGTGGAGGCATGGGCGCGAGTAGCCGGGGCTGATAACCGCAGATAACCGTAGATGGTCATGTGAGATGCACCGGCAAGATAAATAGCCCCGGGACCGTTCTCGTGATAGGGCAGAGATTTCTCCCATCTCCGAAGATACGCGGCTATCCCACAACCGGACGCGCCTGCTTTCACTCTTTTCCCCGGCCCCCCCTTATATCCCCCGGCTATTCGAGCGCGCAACCGTGGTCACTCGTATCTTTGGGGCATGGCCTTAGTGCGAGACACAGAAAGCATGCTTGGACAAGCTTATCCGCTCAATTTACTCTCGTACACGGCGCAATTAAGCAACACTTGGTGCACAGCGCATATTGTGATTAGCCACAGATAGCACAGCGGAAGCAGAACAAGGGCCCCGGTTGTCGGACCGGTTTCATTCAAACCCGACCACAGCCCTTGCAGGTCATGCTGCTTGCACTATCGGCGCCTAGTCGCTATGCCATCTTTTGCTCTTGGAGGGTGCTCTCAGGCTATAGAGGTATACCCGGATTGGCGGCTTCATTAGACCGGCGTTCTGAGCTGGTGGGGAGATAGTGAGAATATCATGGAAAAAACGCTCGGCGCGGGTACACCTTGTCGGGTGGACCTTTGATTTTACTGTCTTTCTCACTTCCCACTCAGATACTTTTGCATGCGCAGCTCTTTGGTGGGAAGATGGTCCTTGTGACTTTTCATCTTTGTGCCGAGGGGGTATCCAGCTCGGCGAGGCTTGTCATGTCCACCTGATATCTCCATCCCCAGGAATGCATGCGTGGTTCATCGTGCATTCTCGACTTTGACCATGCAATAAACCTCTCATGTCATCTCCATCTACAGTGCGAGTATCAGGCGGCCGGGCGGCAGGCCGGCATCAATATCAGATCATGATGCCGGATCTCATCTTTTCACCTCCGTTCGGCCTGCCGAGCACTCTTGACTCTTCTTGGGACACGTTCTCTGATCTATGTTATGCAGTACTAGATGTACTCGTACAGTAGATATCTATGTCTGACGATGCCAAGTCCATCGTTCAGTTACGTGTATACATCCAGCTTTCCATCAATGGCACTGCGAAAGATAGACTCAGGACCAGCGATGTGCATGTTATCTCGGTCTTTCTTCCTGCGATCTTATCTCGGCAAACCACCGACCGACCATCGAAAAAATCCTCTGTTTTTCCTTCTATCACTATCTAATCATGAACATTATCTGCGGCATGACCCCCCAATCATCCGATCCGCCAAGGTACGACAACTCAACCACAATGATTAGATAGATGATAACAAAAAGTCCTCAAAATGGTCATCATCCAACCTCACAGGTCCTTATGACGCGTGCCAAGGGGCTATGCCAACTGACGGATCAATCAGTCTTGCACAGTAATGCGTTGTATAGGAATGACCTGAAGGCTTATATGAGTGTGGGTACATGAAATGAAACAGCCAAGTCAACATCGAGACATATGAGGGTCGAGTCTGCTTACAGACGTGCACAACGACGCGCCTCATCAGTCTACTGTGTCCTTTGTTTGCTCCATTCGCCGGTGTCTATGTACTCTGAATTGGCTTTTGATCAGGAATAGATATATGCCCATAGAAGACTTGCTTCGCAAACGTCTATTGTAGACCGCCGCGAGAAAGGATCATGGGTAGACCCCGAGATTTCATGTCTGCGCAGATATAAGAAGATATGCTGAGATTTAACACCAACCAAAATAACACCTCGGGATATCTTCATCCCTCACGTCACTTCTACAACGCTCAAAGAGAACAATTGCCTTCGATAGGAACATTTGCCTTGGATCCGACGAGCTCAACGCTATAAGAGAGACCGAGTACCCTCCAAAATTGCCACAGAGGTATTCATACCAGACTCGACAACAGCAATATGTCGGTCCCAGTCACTTCGTACCGCAGCTTCCAATCGTGTTTCAAGGCTGGATTCGAAGACGATCCAGACTGGCGGCCCTCAAACTTTTACCGTGCCCCAGCCGGGGTCATCCTCGGTACCGAGCCCAAAGAAGATCGGACCACCTGGCCTGAGACCGGTCACCCAGGTCCAGAGATTACTGCTTTCATCTTGTCCCTCCTAGGTTACGACTCGATACAGGGTGACTTATCTCGAAAGACGGTGACGGTGGTAAGGAACGAGTTTATGGAGAGCTGTGGTACGGGACAGGAGGTGGTGGACGCGCTAGAAGCTGCTAATAAGATGGATCGGCTGCTTTGGGAGCGGTTTGATGATGAGCCACATGACTGGCTCGCCAAGAGTTTTGAAGAAGGCAATACAGAGGCATTGTGGACTAGGCAACACGATTTGATAGTGGAGTTGGAAGACGATTATCAGAACGTCCAGGTGCTGAATGTCGATAGGGAAGGGATGGGGCCATACATGAATTGAGAAGATCCGATGTTAAGTAGATGTGGCGCATGGATTTGCGTTGCTGCTCGCTCTTGAATAACGTCGCCATATTTCTAGCAGAGCCTCGACAGCAGAAACAGCACTGCGAGTACTCTACAGGCCATACGCTCGCAGGCTCCGATTATCAGAGAAGCATTCTATACATAGCTGTCGGATGCGGGAAAGCAGTTGACGATCCGACTCGGTTCTACCCCCTCAACTCCTGTGACATTCATGCAGTTCAATACGAAATGATTGTAAACTTTGTGGTCGGTACAAAGGGCCGCTTTCGTTCTCCCCTGGGTCCCTTTTTTTCTAGCTGAAGTTGTCGCATTACAACTCGTCGTCTGCGTTTCCTAAAATAGACTGCAAGATGCCTTCACTGGCCGGCAAAGCAGCTTCCACCCTAGGTGCAGTAAAAGGACTTTGCGCGGCGACCTAAGATGGATTATGTATCAACCCCGCGTCGAGCGTGCATGATATATGAGCAGGTGATGAAGCAAAACCGACATATCCTCAACATCCCCATCCTAACAATTCCAAAACGATGGAGGCCCTCCCAGTCACTTCATACATCAGCACACAGTCTTGGACCGAACATGATGTTTACAACGAGGGAAACAGACACTCATCAGATTTCCAGCGTTCCCCAATCGGCACTTTTGTCGAAGCCGAGCCGGATGAGAATCTAGAAGTCTGGCCAGAGACCGGTCGTCCTGGGCCGGAGGTGACGGCTTACATCGTGGCGGTCTTGGAATACGACCCCAAAGAAAACAAACTCTCTCGACAAACTGCTACTGTGACGCGTGCGCCGGAAATGTATGGCGCTTTGGAGGACAGTATCAGCGCACTTGAGGCTGCCAATGAAATGGATGAAGAGATGTGGAAGATGCTTGGCGAGTCCCAACAGGAGGAATAGCTTGCTACATGTATGATAGAGGGCAACGCGGAGGCGTTAAGAAGTAAGCAACAAGATATGTGTAGAGATCTATCAAGTCGATTCTTGTCACACGGGTCCATGACCTCTAGCGATGACCTTGTAGTAGTCGAGGTGAGTCGAAATGACTTGAGGCCCATGGGAGGTAGCCAAGCCAATGCCGGAGGACATGGACGCTTGTGTTTGAAGAGACAACAATATTTGATCGACGGAGTATCTAAAAGCTATGAAAGAGTGTGGTATTTATATCCAGCCTCAAGCCTACGTATCCCTTTTCCATGACCTTCCAGTGTTTTCTACAGTGGCCAACAGAGCGGCAAAGATTATTCTAGATGCTTCGAGATATTTCTGGGTCGAGTGGCGACAGCCACGTGACAATTCTCAGGCGTCATGCTGCTGGACACCGATAAGGAATGGTTGGAGAAGGTTTTGCAAGGGGATGACGATTAGAATGATATAGAGAAGAGTGATGAGTGATGTATGAAAGGTCTACAAAAGACGGCATATCATGCTTCCGGGTTCGGCCGGCAACACGGGAGTCTCGAGCTTGTCCATGGGCGTTGGACGGAGAGAACGCGAAGCCAGAGGGGCCGGGAGGGCTTGAGCTGAGTCAGCCAACGCGTCCTCGGCTCCTCCTCAATGGCACTTGATGGCGGAAACAGTACAAGTAGAAAAGAATGTCAACATGTCACACAGATGATCGATGATCCTGGGACAAGCACTGAATGGTCTATAAAGTTCTTTGGTGGAGTCTTCTCTATTTGAACGAGTCCGATATAACTTCCATTTCGCACCCATCCATCCTTCTTTGTACATAATCTATGTACATTACCAGATCTTTTGTTGATCGTCTTTCACGGACTGAGCTCAGAGGGACTTCCTTTGTAATGGTGGAAGCTTACTGTATTGTGTCACCGTATCGGGCAAAAGTTATAAGCCATGACTACAGCAAGGACGTGTCCGAAGAAACGATCTGTACGGGGTCTCATATGCATCATGATACCGGGAGTCCGACTCAGCCTGTATGTGACTACCGATATATGTAAAGCTTGACAAAAACACATCAGACATGACAACCAGCCACTTTTGTTTTGCCACTCCCATCCTCTGTCAGGCATTTCAAGATGACATCGCAAACTTCATACCTCAGTACCCAACATTGGATAAAACAAGATCCAGCCGACGAGGAGGATGACGAGATCTCACCCACCGAAGAAGAAGACGGAGGAGAAGAAGGAGAGCCGAGCTTTACATCACAACTGAGCTGTAAACCCCACCCCAATGGCCTCCTCATCACCGAGCTTGACGAGAACCGGGACCTGTGGCCTGAGACCGGTCGTCCAGGTTCAGATATCACATCTTACATCATTTCCGTCATATCTTACGACCCCGCAACGAAGAAGCTCTCCCGCGAGACAAAGACAGCAAATCGGCCTCTGGAAAACTATGAGGTGCAAGACTTTCTCGATGCCATCGGGCCTGCAAATCAGATGGATGACTCTATCCGATTTCGGCTGGGTGAGTCAGAAAGGGACAAGGATGGCTGGCTCGCTACGTGCTTCAAGGAAGAAAATGCGGACGCATTGAGGAGTAAGCAAGAGGAGCTTTTTGAGGAATTGAAGAGTCAGTTTCCGAGTGTTATGCTGCTTGATCGTGTGTAAAACTTGAAGAGCGCCCTAAAAATTGAGAGACGATCTTCAAAATAAAGATCTGAACAGGGATCTGTACATACGAGTAGGAGCACTGCGAGGCAGCGGAGATGCAAGCAGAAGATGAAGAGATGAACATGGTAGTTCGAACATAAACATCTCGTCTGACCATTTCCTGTCTTCTGATGCTGTAGAGCCTTCTATGAGACGATCCAAATTTGCAGGGATACTGCGAGCTGGAAGTTCATCATCACCTCGTAACACAAGCAAAAAGTTTTTCCTGATAGCTCATAGCATATGGAGATCATAATAGCTCGCCCGATATCGCCGCGCCGTCGTCTCCTGCTGGTCTGACCGAGTAAGAACCGTAGTCATGACCGAATGCCAACTAGAGGTCAAAGTAGATGCATTATAAACATGCCTGCGAACGAACGGCGTGTGCAAAGCCATCGCCCCCACCGAGTTGTGGAACAACAAGGCATCATCTGACCTCAGTCATCAGAGTCGCTCAGCGTGATGACCGTCTTCTTCCCACCTCCCGCACCCCCTTGAGAGAAGCTGGAATACAAGTGAGCACGACCTCGCTTTTTTACCTCGCTACACTCACGATAATTGACTCTGTGTCATCTGACTCGCCCCGCCCCTAGCGCTAGCTCTAGCGGGGGCCTTCTTTGCCGCTGGAGCCTTCTTCGCCGGGGCCTTTTTTGCGGGAGCCTTCTTGGCTGCTGCTGTACTCGATCCGGCAGCACGGCCACGGCCTTTCCTGGGGGCTGGCTCTTCCTCCTCTTCCTCCTCTTCCTCCTCTTCTTCTTCCTCTGGGTCGGAAATGTCGTTATCGTCGGAGGCGGCATCGAACTGAACGATATCTCAGCTTTGTCGGGGGCATGTACAGCGTACGAAACGCGCAGAAAACTCACCAAAGCTTGACTCTTCCCCCGCCCTGTACTCTTCGCCGGCGCTTTCCCTCTCGTCGCCCCTCCTCTGCCACCTCTCGAACCCGGTCCTCTTGCTGGCGCCTTCTTCGGCGCAGGGCGGTCCGACTCCGAGTCGACAGACATGGCGTCGTCGTCATCTTCTTCGGCCACTAACGAGGGTATCAGTATGAGCACGAGATGACGAGGTGGGGGGCGTACTGCTATCGGCATCTTCATCCCTGCTCTTTCCTTTTCCTTTATTTTTGTTCTACATCCGGGGTCAGCTTTTCTCGTTCTGGTTTGCCTTGAGGGACTGTGAAGAGGACATACGAGTTCAAATTGCCCCTTCTCCTTCTCATGCCTCGCCACAGCCCTATATCAAACCGTCAGCTCCGATATCCCATCATGCAGACCAAGAGGCAAGACGGCGTACTCATTCTTCGCTTCCCACATCTATGCCATCAAGTCAGCATTGTCAAACAAGACCCAGGGAAAGGGAACGTACCTGCTCCTTGACAGTATCTGGATCAAACTCTACATTATGCAACATCGTCTTGCTCACAAAACTCGTTGTCTTTGCCACAAAGCTGCAATCCATCAGTTCCGCCACACCCCACAAAACAGCGTAGAAAGCAAGAGTACCCACTCTTTGATAGCATCCCGATCATCCTTCTCCACAAACCGCATCACAGCCTCCTCCAACCCGCCCTCCACCAACACTCCCAGTTCCTGCGCTTTGAGGTATTGCCCGACGAGGTGTGCCATACGGAGTTTGGACGATGCTTCGTCATCGGCGAGAAGGGATTGGGGTTCTTCTTCAATGTCGTCCGAGTCGGGTAGGTCGGCATTGTTCTTTGGCTCTGCTCAAAAGTCAGCTCATGTCCAAGGGAGGAGGGAGGAAGACGCACTTCGCTCAGCGACCTTCTTCCTTCGATAATACTGCAACAGATCCCGCGGATTCGCCACCCTCCCGATATACTCTTGCCCAAACCTCACAGGGTTGATCACATCCTTCGCATCCGTCGTCTCCACCTTCAACCGAATAAGTGGCAACATCATCTCCCCATCCTCTGGCGTATGCGTCTCATCCCATTCCTCCTTCGTCTGCGCTATACACTTCTCCACCTCCCCCCTCAAAAACATTGTAATCTCATCCCTATCATCCAAACTGAACGCCCCATCCTTCGCTTCATCCCCCAGCACCACCTCCCCCATCGCCATCGGCCTCACCGTCTTTAACGGTATCTCTTCGATGCCAAACTGCTCCCCTTGAACGGAGAGGATGCCGACGTGTTTGGGGATGGCCTCGCCGGCGGAGAGGGAGGTGGCGACGGAGGAGCCGGGTTGGGAAATGTAGTATGGTTTGCCGGGGACGGATTCGGGGGTGAGGCGGCAGTCGTGTTCGTGCCCCCAGATGACGAGTCGGATCGAATCGTCAAACATGCCTTCTGGCACATGTTGCTGTGGGCCATGCTTGACTCTACTTACATCAGCCCCTTCTCCTCTCCCTTCTGGTTCGAAGCTCACCGGTTCTGATGCACGAGCAAGATATTAAACCACTCATCATCCGCCACCTCTCCCCCCGTCGGTACATACATCTTCACCCTATTACTCCTCAACTCGAAATTCATCCTCTGATCCCTCACATTCCCACACCCATACAGCGCTAGGTGCGTATCGCCCTTACGCAGGAGGACGGGTTTGATGCGGATACCTTTATCGGGGTCGGCGGATTGGGCATCTTCGTCGGCGAGGGAGACTTTGCCAAAGTAGTTGAGGACGCCTGAGACGGAGAGGACGTCGAGCGCGCAGAGGGCGCCTTCCTATGTGAAGTCAGCGGTGAAAGGGGTGAAAGCGGTGGGGAGGGGGTGCACGTACGGGACCGGTTCCTTGGGGGTCGTCGTGGTTGCCGTGGATGGAAAAGACGGGGATGGCGATGTTGAGGTTGGGGTCTTCATAGTTGACTGCCGGGAAGCTGGATGGGGTAAGCGACCACCGAATGAGGATCATTTCCGACGCACTTGAAGCCTGGTGTTGCACCATCCATGGGATCTGACAAAAGCTCAAACTGGCCCCCCATCAGCCCTCATCATCACCACCACCAGCAAAAGAGACTTACAGGAATAGCCTTGTCCCCCAGCGTATACTCTCTCAGCAACGCTATCGTCTGATGCATACACGTCCGGCTCGGGCGGTTCTCATGGAACAGATCTCCTGCCAGTAGGATGAAGTCCACTTGCTCCTTCTGAGCGATTTGGAGGATTTCGCGGAAAGTATTGATGCTGTCTTGTCCACGGACGGGGTCCTTTTCGGCGTAGCCTATGTGATTGTCTGTGGCGACCAGAATCCGGAAGCAGCTTTGGACATGTTAGATGGGATCAAGAAGTGAAAGAGTGAAGTACTTGTCAGTGTCGACTGCTAACGTTAGCACATGACCGATACGCAGGCGGAAGACTCACTGCCATGATCAATACTAGGCGGCAGCGGCTGCTCCTCGCTGAGAGCTGTCAACTCTGCTCCACTTCGACGCAGTGCGTAGGCTCACATTGCTTCTGTGTACTCTCGCTGGCTCCGGGGCTGGTTCATGCTGGTTTTTGAAAAGTATAGGTGGCCTATGACAAGGCGGGGAAAACAGGGACGGAGGAATGAGACGCGGTCGCGTCGGTGGAGGCTGTCCAGTCAACGGAGCGACGGGATCAAATATCGCACTGGCACACAACTGGCACACCATGCTGCTTCAGACTGTCCATGGGCTTGGGACTATGCATGTGTGGTACTGATGACAAGAAGGGGGTGCAGGAGACTCTCTGAACAAGAGCGGCAATAGAAAAGGTGAGTGGTGGAAGAAGCAATACACAATGAGGCAGTCACCACCCGGATCTGCTATAGCCTATACCCTTTGTGACTTGCGTCCGTTTCTCACTTCTCTGCGGCAGTCCTTTGTCTCCTCTACCCACTTCTCTATCCAGTCCCCGCCACCAACGTCGGCATCAAGCACAACAATGACACCCACCCTCACCGTAAACATTGCCCACGCCGAGCGCGTGATCATGTACGACAACAACAAGAAGACGAGGGAGATCAGGGGTGCGAAAGATATTCGATTGGAGTCTGGCTATACAACGGCTCAAAAGGACAAGAAGGCCAAAGATGTGAGTCTCTCATGAGATTGTACCGAGAGACTACTCTGATAAGACAACAGGCAAGCAAGACAGCCGCCGTTGCGGCCGCTGTCGCCCTCGCCAACAAAGCTACCAAGCACAAGACAGTCACTCACACCGCACCCACCAAAGCTCCCTCCTCGAGCAAAGCAAAGTCTTCTGCTGTCCCCCCTGCGCCAAAGACGAAGAAGGCCGAGTCCCACACAGCCGAGCATAAAGGGCAGAGGAGGAGGTTGGGCGTGTACTTTGAAGAGACCATGTAGCGCGCATATTTGAGAGTCTGAGAGTTAGTAAGGGGTTGTAGTTTGTAGAGCCGTTGGCATTATGTCTGTTTGTGTGTATGTATCTCAGCATTTCCTGTATCCGCACACTCCCACACTCCGATGGGGACGCTGTGGTTGAATTGTCGGTCAACATGCTTTCCAGTTGCTCCATTTCGATTCGTATTTCTAGCAATTCTCCCACCAAAAGCGCGGATATATACATCTCTCGGGCTATACAATGTCAGTACCGACATGGCTGCATGCATACGACCCAGTAAACGACCCCAGCAAGCCATGCACTTGTTACGTATACACCAAGACCATCCAGGCGGAACCAAACTTGACGCGTCGCGAGATTCTCATCATGACGAAAAACGCGTCTCTCCATTCTCATCCTCTTCTTCTTCCACTATTCCACCCGGCAAGATGGCCCCTTCCCGCACCCAACGCTCCCAACCCTCCACATCGACCTACCAATCCCAACACCCCCACACCCAAACGCAACACGGCAATCTCTCTGAAGAATTCGGCCACTCGACCCAGTCGCAGAGACGCGCTAAAATCACGAATGCGAAGGATATCTTCAGGCAGCCGGATCAGGAGGAGCAATTGAGGCTGGGGAGGGAGTATAGGAGTTTGCAGGCTGCGGCTGATGGTGCGTCTTTCTCTCAGAGCAAGGGGAAGGGGAAGGGAAGGGATGGGATGGGATGGGAGGAAGGGAGGAATGGGAGCTGATGATGGAGACGCGTAGAGATGAAAGCCAACCTGACGAACGCCACTGCCCGAGACTTGGCTCAAGCACTCGCCAAACAATCACAACTCTTCGCCAGCGGTAAGCTCTCACCCCCACATCCCTACTTGCTAGATTACTGAAATGTCCTTTGACGATAGTGCGCGATACGGGCATCGGAACCCTCGACGCCAACCTGATCCGGACCAATGCCGAAAACGCCATGGGCCTCGCAAAGCGGTTCAAAATCGACGGCGTCACGTTTGATATCGACGAGTTTCTTATCAAGATTAAAGGCCAGCTGGGACTGGACCGCGCGGAGATGATGGACCAAGATGCCGATGCCGGAGAGTCGGATCTGGAAGATGATGGGGCTACGCAGAGACAAGGACGGGGACGAGGAAGGGCGCAGCAGGCTAGGGTTGGGGCGTTGGGGGATTGGGAGAAGCTTGGGTGGATGGCGGCTAGGTATGGGCGTCGGATGCCGGGGGTGGAGTTCATGTGCGTTGCCCTTCTTCCTTTTCCTCTAGCTCCAACCCCAAGCCCTCGCCTGGGGATGGAGGGAGATATGATGAGAGCTGGAGGGCTAATGGGAGATAGGTACGGACCGCTGCAAGTCGAATTCAAGAAACGAAATCCCAACACCCAACGTCCAAAACAGGCCATGGTAGAAGAGACCCAAGCCACAGTCGTCGAACAGAACGCAGAGGTTTCCAAAAAGACGACAGACGACTTCACTAACAACATCAAAACCGTACGTTCGCCCCCGCCCCCCCTCCCCTCCTCATGGACCGTCGACTGATACTGACGCGCAAAACAGGTCTACAAAATTCTCGAAAAACACGCTCCCGACGGCGAAAGCATGAACTTTTTCCGCCTCGTCGTCAACCCCACCTCTTTCGGCCAAACGGTCGAGAACTGCTTCTTCCTCTCCTTTCTGATCAAAGACGGCAGGGCGGGGGTGTATGTGGAGCAGGATGGGGAGATCAGGGTGGCTGTTGGGGAACCGCATAATACGGCGGATGATGGGGATGTGCAGAGTAATCAGGCGGTTATGGAGATGGATAAAGAGACTTGGGAGGTGAGTTTTTTTCTCTTTTCTCTCGGGCTCTCGGGAGTGAGGCTGAGGAGGCTGATGGGGATTTTGGTAGTTGGCGATCAGGACGTTTGGAATCAAAGAATGTGCTATCCCGACAAGAGATTATCAACAGATCAGAATCCAATCTAACGGGTGGTACAGCTAGAGTTTTGGGGCTTGCTCTCTCTTCCTCTCTCTCATTTCTACCTATGTATACAGTTAGACATTGCGAAACCTTCTTTTGCGGTGTCGATATTTTTTGGGAGTGCAGCTGGGTATTTGTACAATATGCTGAAAAATGCATCTGTCGTTGAGAATGCCTGTGTCTACAACTTGCTCTCTTTCCTCCCCCCTTCCCCCTTCCCCCTTCCCCCTTCCCTCCCATGCCTCTCTACCACCGCCCTTGCTCTTTTCTCTCGAAAGCGCAAGGATCATTTAGCTTGATCCGCAATAGGATTCGCATGCACCGTAACTCTCTCCAGCCGTATCTCTTGTAATGGCCGGTTCTTGGGATTGACGGGGGTACGTTCCATCGTATCGAGCACTTCAAAGCCGTCTATCACTCTACAGTCCGGTCATCAGCTCCTTGGTCTCATTGGGGTTGGTCAAGAAGGTAAGGAAGGGGGAGGAAGGGAGAGGAAAACGTACTTTCCGAATATACTATACTTTCCGTCGAGACTTGATTGTTTTGCGTAGGTGATGAAGAACTGTAACACATCATCAGTCATTACCATTTGTAAGACCCAAGAAAGAGAGCAGAGACACACTTGAGACTTGTTCGTATCCGGCCCAGCATTCGCCATAGCCACTACCCCTCTCGCATTAAACTATCATCTCCATCAGCATCCCCCCAGCTTTCTTTTCAGTGAAAACTTACTCGTAAGGTTTGTCGTATTTCATCGCTAAACGGCCGCCCCCATATACTCATACCACCCTTTCCAGTACCGGTCGGATCACCGCCTTGGACCATGAAGGATTTGATGTTTCGGTGGAAGAGGGTGTTGTTGTATGAGCCTGAGGCGCAGAGAGCGAGAAAGTTCTGTCCAGAATTAGCGTTGTTTCACGTAGTAAGAAAAGGGATATGGGTAGATATGGAGGGGGGCGTAGGTTAGAGGAGGGAGACATACTTCGGCAGTACGAGGGACCGACTCGCAGAATACTTCGATCTTGATGTCCCCCAGATTTGTATGAAATGTGACTGACTGCAATGTGGATCAGCATCCACAGCTTGGGGTGATTGGGGACATACCATGGCGAGTTTTGTTCTTTGGGATGTACAGGGTGGAGGTTGTTGTGACGGGGAAAGAAAGAGAAGATGGGCGCCGCCGCCGCCGCCGGCGGAGGGGTGGCCAGGCACGATCTGCTATTTTGTGATGACCAACGCTTTCCATCTACATTCGGCTTACTCTACAGTCCCCGGCTCCGAATCATCCCGCCTGGCTATAAAAAGGATACATTCCCTCCAGTACTCCAACAAGAAAACAATAAAGAGCAATTCAATATGTCAAGACCTACCCAGCAACAAAACCCGGCCGCAACGCCTCCCGCCCCTTTCGTCTTTGACACAGTGCCAGAGGCTATCGACGCTATCAACCGGGGAGAGTTTGTCGTCGTCATGGACGATGAGAACCGGGAGAACGAGGGAGATTTGGTGTGTGCGGCGTCAAAAGTTACGACGGAGGGTATGGCTTGGATGATCAAGTGGACTAGGTATCTTTTTCCACCATAAAGATCAAAAGATCAAGTGCTGACCAGATCATGCAAGCGGTTTCATCTGTTGCTCTCTCCCTCCTTCCCGTCTCGCCGCTCTCCAGCTCCCGCCCCTCCTGCCTCCCTCTGGTGTGTCGCAAGATCCCAAGGGTACGGCCTATCACCTCACCGTCGACTCGGCGCCGGGCAAGAATCCCGTTACGACCGGTATCTCTGCCCACGACCGAGCGTACACTGCGAGGATTTTGGCGAATGAGGAGAGCGTAGAGGGGGACTTGACGAGACCTGGACATATGGTCACGCTGAGGTATACTGTTGGCGGGGTGCGAGCTAGGAGGGGACATACGGAGTGCGCTGTCGGTGCGTTATCCCCATCATGACATTCTTTTGGTTTCGCATGGCTGATGGCTTTTAGACCTGTGTTACCTGGCTGGCCTCCCACCAGCAGGTCTCTTGTGTGAGCTTGTCCACCCGACGGACGAAGCCGGCGAGATGGCCCGACGAGATGACTGCTGGCGGTTCGCCAAGGAGTGGGGACTCAAGATCATCAGTGTGGAGGGCTTGGCAGAGTATGTGGAGAGGGAGGGCAAGGATTTGGTGCCAGAGGCGCTTGCTAGGGCTTGATCTTGGAGAGGATCGGGTTTGGTAGAGCGCGACGGGAATGTGTATTCTACAAAATGATAGATTTTTTTGGTGATCCAGAGCATTTCTTTTGCATGCAGTAATCAACTGTCTTCTGCCTCCAATTCGCACCCCTCCAAGATATTTCAAAGTACATTTTGCATGCATGGGAAAGAACAAAAGTGACACGCCACGTTCATGTAATCCCGAAACTCCGCCAACTTTCATGATCTCTTACTTTTGCCATTGTCCTTCGCGCCCATACAAATCCACCCCCAAAATCGCCGCCAGCATGACTTCCATGGCCGCTGCCCTCGCAGCCTCCCTCCCCAGCGCCGTCTCCCGCCAGTCCACCCCTCTCCCCCAGAAGGAAGCCGCCTCCAAGGTCCCCCAGAAGCTCGAGGGCGCCGTCGATGCCGAAGCCCTCAGGGAGGTCGAGAGCGTCCAGCTCAACTCTCTTGTTTGTCGCTCCTTGATCACCACGGGGCGAGCTAACTGTTGCTATAGGTATTCTTGAAGATCATGAAGCACTCTACCGACATCCTCCCCGCTCCCCCCGCCTCCGTCCTGCAACAGGACCGTAACCCCCCTCCCCCTACCGAGCTTTCAAGTCACGTCGATGCTTTGGGTGTGCTTGTGGGTCTGGACCTTGATGGTGTTATGGAGGTGGAAGACTCTTTTGCTCTCCCCGGTGGCGAGACTAGCTTGGGTCGTAAGTCGCTCGTGGTCGAAAGAGGACAAGTGCTGATCGAGAATTAGCCAACTCTTACTCCTCGAAACTCTTGTCCCGCCTCTCCACCGTCTCCACCCCCGACTCTCCTGTCGGTATCTACCTCTCCACCCACAACGGTGGTTTCGCTACCCGAGTCTCCATCGACCTTCTCTCCGCCGTCGAAAAGTCGGCCGGACGCGGCAAGGCCATCCTCCTCATCCACGACGCTTCCCGCTCCAACGGGAACGACCTCTCCCTGAAGGCCTACACACTGTCAGAAGGAGCTAGAGAAGCCGCCAAGAAGGGCAAGTGGGACGGACAAACGCTGCAAGAGTATGGTATCACCAGCTCGACCTTGTTGGTCCCCTTGCCCGTCAAGGTCGCTTCTTCAGCCCTCCTTGACGCCTTCATCTCCACCCTCTCTACCCCCGCTCCTTCCGCCTCCGCCCCCTCCCTTTCTTCCCCGTCCGCCCCTCTCCCACCATCCTTCTCCCCCCTCCTGAACCCCCTCTCCACCTCCCTCACATCCTACCTCCAAAACACCCTCGACGCCCTCACCCTTCACTCCCACGAGACCAACAACATTGCCTTCCTCTCCCGACAAATTGCGCGTGAGAAGAGCAAGCATGAGCAGGCGGTCAAGGATCGGGAGGAGGAGAATGCGAGGAGGAGAAAGGCTGGGTTGAGCGAGTTCCCCGAGATTGGGGAAGAAGTCAGGGGCGGTACGAAGGAGCCCAGTCGGTTGGAGACGGTTTGTCTTGGGGGGACGGTGGAGGGTGTTGCCAAGGGGATGGCGGCGGAGGCTGGAAAGGGTTTGGTGCGAGCGTATTTGTAAATGGAGTCTTTTCGCTTTTTTTCTTTTGTGTGCGGGTTCATTTGTTCTAGATGAGACCTTGTAGAGTAGTTTATACAGCATTTACATTCCCATCTTGCACATCATGCATGTGCTGCTTATATGATTTGACGTCGGGGATGGAGTCGTTATCGGACATTTGCGAGGATTGGGAAGTCGAGATCCAGTGTTGTTGAGGGGCAGACGTCTGGAAATGACCTTTGCAGTACTCGAGTACAATGGTGGACAGTGCCAGCGATGGACCCTCCTCCCGGCCTTACCTTACACCTGGCTCGATCTCCGCCACCGACTATGGCTGTACATTCCAGATACGGCACGCTCTTCCTTTTGTCAACTACAAATGCGCTGGGTTTGTCAAGGCCCACCTGCTGCTCTTCCAACGACATCGATGTTCTTTTCCTCATTCGTTCTCACTTACATTTGAGATACAGTTCGAAACACATCTGACCGAAATGTCCAACCACAGTCGACAGACTTGGATTCAAAAGGAACCTCATACGAGACCATCTTTAAAGGCGGAAACGACGGACTTAGGAAACAATTTTGCAAAGGTTCCCGACACCGGACTCCCAGTCGAAGATAGTTCGGAAATCCCGGCTGGAACGACTTCATACGTTGTGTCCTCCTCTACCTACTCTGCCGAGACGAAGACTCTTCACCGAGAGACTTTCACCGGTAGCAGAGAGTTTCCCGGTAAATCTGTAAGGGATCATGATCTTCTCGCCATACCCGCCCAAGACATGGAAAAGGCTATCACGGATCACCAAGGATTCCAACGCTGACTGGATTGCTTCTTGCTTTACGATGGACAAACCCGAGGAAGGGCTGAAGGGGATCGAGATGGCTCTGTATACCCAGATTATGGAGGAAGATAAAGAAAAGTACGAGGGGGTGCTGCTCTTTCAGGTAGAGCCAGGTCAGGTGCAGGACGCGATCAGTATGATGTATCCTTCTTGATAACGAGAGACTGTCTTCGATTAAGCATCACGTATGGACAGCCTGCATGAGGTGCCAAAACGAATATGTTATGGCGATGCAACGACCAGATTTAAGAGTACAGTCAACAGCATGGCGTCAGGAAGTGGTGTCGAGCAAAATATATATATATATATAAGATGATGAGTAGGCGGTCAAGGATCGGGAGGAGGAGGAGAATGTCAGGAGGAGAAAGGCGTCTGGGTTGAGCGAGTTTCCCGAGACTGGGAAATAGGTCCGGGGTGGTACGAAGGAGCCCAATCGGTTTGAGATGGTTTGTCTTGGGGGGACGGTGGAGGGTGTTGCCAAGGGGATGGCGGCGGAGGCTGGAAAGGGTTTGGTGCGAGCGTATATGTAAATGGGGTCTTTTCGCTTTTTTCTTTTGTGTGCGGGTTCCTATTTCTAGATAAGACCTTGTAGAGTAGTTTATACAGCATTGACCTCCCCATCTTGCACATCATGCATGTGCTGCTTATATGATTTGACGTCGCGAATGGAGTCATCATCAGACATTTGCGAGGATTGGGAAGTCGAGATCCAGTAGTGTTGTTGTGAGCTGGCGTTTGAGACTTACTCGAGCACAGTCGTGAACAGTGCAACCGCCATCCCACCCTTACCTTACACCTGGCTTGATCTCCGCCAACGGCTACTGCTGTACATTTCAAATCGGCGCGCTCCTCCTTTTTCAACGACGAAACGCACCGCTCATGGAACGAGAGCAACTTGCCGCTCCGCTGATCAGCGGCTGGTATACTACCCGCTGTTTTCAACGGCGACATGTTGTCGAGGTATCCATATCTTAGTTCGTCCCCACTTCTATTAGAACCAAAAGTTCTATTAGAACCAAAAGTTCTAACACACTACCAAAATGTCCATCCACAGTCAACAGACTTGGACTCAGAAGGAGCCTCATACGAGGCCATCATTGGAGGCCAAAGTCACGGCATTCGGGAATGATCTAGCGATGTTTGCCGATTCAAACATCCCCTTTGAACATAGCTCGGAAATCCCCGCTGGGACGACTTCATACGTAGGCTCGTCTTCTACCTACTCTGCCCAGACGAAGACTCTTTTCCGAGAGACTTTCATCGGTAGCAGAGATTTTCCAAATCAACCTGAAAGAGATTATGATCGTCCCGCCGAAGCCGCCCAGGACATGGAAAAGGCGATCACGCACAGTCTCACCAAGGATTCCAACGCTGGATGGGTGGCCTCTTGCTTTACGATGGATAAACCTGAGGAGGGGCTGAAGGCGATCGAGATGGCTCTGTACTCCAAGTATATGGAAGAGGATAGAGAGAAGTACGAGGGTGTGCAATTTTTGCAGTTAGAGCCGGGTCAAATGCGGGCCGCGATAAGAACGATGGAGGAGCCTTGATAACAAGAGACGGCCCGCTGACCGTCTTTGATTATGCAGCACATGTGAATGCCCTGTTCTTGTATCAATTCGTGTCTATTCTACGTTCAATCATTAGTGTACCGCCAGAACTATGACATCTACTTTCCAACGCGGAGGACAACTCATGATGATAATGTACTGTGCCGAGGAGAAGGTAGACCCGGCCCATGGCTGCTCTCGTCAGGCTACTTTCCACACCCATCACTTCTGCAGCATCTCTTTTGGTCACATTTACCACCCGCCTTCAGCCTTCGACCATTGTGGGACGAGAAATGACCAGCGTGACGTACAATTAGGAGAACGAGATAGCGTAGTAATTTGGTTCGCGTGAGATCGATGATGCCTGAATGACAGCAGCATCAATACGTTATAGCGGATTTATGCCTGATAATAGACCGTCGGGGATTGTAATCATCTTGGCACGACATGCGAAATCGCGATTGAGAAACGACTAATGGGGTAGATACAGGGAGAGATGATTCAACATTCAAAGCACTCGGGAATCATGGTTTATCATCGAAAGTATGGTATCATATGAAACTTGGCATGGGGTAATGTCCTTAGCAGACCTCGTCATTGCGGCGGATCTCGTCTTCTTCTTTGCGATGTGGCCTAATGGCCGTGTTTCTTGGAACGCCTCTGCGGTAATAGCGTTAGCAAATTCAGATACTCATCCCAACAGCGAATATACCTTTCGTTGTTGCTCATGCCCACTGGGCACCGCGCTCAACCAGCTCCCCTCTCCCCACTTGGCGCCCGAGCTTCCCGCGGCACCTCCTGTCTGAGAAGCTTCCACTGCAGCCACTCCATCCGCACCGGTACCAGAGGCGGTAGTAGCAGAATGGTTCACCACCTGAACAAGAGTCGAGCCATCAACGACGGTAAAGACTTCAGTGTCCGAATCGCCTGAAGCCGCAGCAGATGAGATACCACCGGAAGTGGCGGCTTGGACGGCCGCAATACCTTCGCTGGAGGAAGGGTCTTCTCCTTGAATTGTGACGTATTGGGTGACGATAACGGTGGACGTTGGGGTAGTGACAGTATCGGTTCCTTCTGCGAGGTCCTGTGCTCCCAAAGCGGCGGCAGAAGTGACCTCCTCGCTTGATGCTGCCGCCGCAGCTCCAGTAGCCACCGAAGTACTTGCTGCAGACGCGGGCGTGACGGCTTGCGAGACGATATCGGCTGAGGATGACTCGACTGCACCAGCTGAGGAAGCAACTACACCAGCGGAGGAAGCGACTACACCAGCGGAGGACGCCTCGACGGCAGCAGAGGTGGCGGCAGCCTCAGAGACAGAGCTTTGGACAGGAGCAGCAGCAGAAGAAGCAACAATGCCCGTTTCAGCAGACACACCAGCTGTCGCCGTCGCTGCAGCTGCTGTACTAGAATCAGAATCGGCGACAGCAGAAGAAGCACTATCCACACTCTCCGTCGCTCCAACCTGAATAGCCGCAGCTCCATCCACCCCGGTAGCCACAGTAGCCACCACACTCAACGTCCCGCTCGACACCGCCCCCGTCGGACTCGGTCCCACAGAGAAGGTCGAGAGACCCGTCGAAGCCAAGCTAGAACATGTCGCAGTGGCATTGGCATACGCGTCCGAGGGAGTCTTGGCGCCGACATAGTCGGAGCCGGCGGGGCAGAATTCGACGATATAGTCGGGCGCGTTGGAGCATGTCCAGAGGGCCGTTTTGGATTTCTCGTCGTAGGCGTAGGCGTAGGAGGTGTTGCAGTTATCTTTGAAGAGGGAGTAGTAGTCGACGCCGCAGGCCTGGCAAAGATCGGAATCGGCGTATGAACCTTTGCGGATGTTAGCGATGACGACACAACAGTACAATAGAAAGAGCGTACCTGTGCAGCAAGCTCGGTTACCATACATTTCTTGCCCAAGACCAGCATTACAAGCCGTCAAACAACCGAGGTTGACGCCGTTCATATCCAAAGCTGTCCTCAGCATCGCCGGGCAGAGCAGGTTGATATTCACTTGACATTGCGGCTGAGGACAAGACGCAATGGAAGGGATGATGTTGAGAGGGAGGTTGAAGCCGTCCACAAGGGAGATGTCAAAGTTGTCTTCGGAATCAGGCTGCATAGTAAACTCGGCTATCGTGATCATTAGTAATAGCCATGAGGGGAGGAGCAACAACAAACCGAGCGTAGCAGGAGGCTGATCCGAATTCTCGCAAGTCACATTCCCTCCCTCACCCGACCCGCACTGCCCTGTCAGACACTGAAACTTGCCATCCTGGATGACACACTCCGTCCTCCCCCAGATTCTACCAGCCTGCCAGTTCTCAGGCACCTCAAAGATGGTTGAGTCACCAGCGGCAAGTTCCCATCCGGTTACTTGATCAGGAATCTCCCCGGCGCCGGTATGCATGCCGGGCCAGATGGCGGAGGAGCAAGAGTTTTTGACTGTTATCTGTCGAGCATGAGAAAGGGGTGCGAGGGAGGATAGAAGCGGGATGAGGAGGAGAGAGAGCATTGTCGGTTGATTTTGCAGTTGGCGTGATAAAGAGCGTGAGAGGGTATACCAGATACCTTAGCTTGGAGCATGCGAGGGATAGAGCGATTCGAGGACTCGTCAAGAGTTTACAGGCTGGCTGTAGGATATCTGTTGACAGGATAATCAGCAACGGCTGTTATGAAGCGATAAAGAGCGTCGAAAGCAATTCCAGCAAAGAAATGAGCGTGTGACTGTGTCAGAGAGGGAGAAGAGTAGAAAGGTGGGTGATGGAAAATCGGAATGGATGGAAATGGATGGCGTATATGCACAACAATGGTTCTCGCTCCCACTCTTGCCCCCGTCTCATCCTCGTTTGCCGCTCCCGTGGAAGTCCTGCCAAAGGAGCCCATACCCGTTCCATAAACAGCCACAAACCTCCTGAAAGCCGAAGACCGAGCAACGCAAAGGATTATCGTTTCAGGCAACCTCGTGACGACAATCATACCAAGGCAGCCCAAGGGTACCATATGCAAAGTCGAGACAATGGATGTCAGGGGAGAAAGGATGTCGGAGAGTGTGGGCGGAAGGGGAGGTAAGCGTATTTGGAGAGGATCTGAAGGAGGAGGGTATGCGATCGATAGGAAGGGGCATGCTGGAGGCCATCGGGGGCCTCGGGGGGAAGCCTGAGAGTAAGATTGGAGGAAAGGCCCACATGGGTCCACCAGGGGCTGCAGACGGGATTGACAGACGGGATTGACAGACGGGATTGATAGGGTAGGTAGGGTCCGCTTGTGTATGTCCGTTACTTTCTGTTTCAGCAGATGTAATCCCCGTTGGTTGTTCAGTTGGTTGCTATCGGTTAGCGGCTCTATGTACAGCTCGTCGATAGTGACCTTCCAGCCATATGTTATCCATTGAGCAAGAGCTTACAGTCTACAAGTGTCAGCGATATATCCTTGCTCTGAAGTCAAAGATCATACTCCTACGATAACGGCTCCAGGTGCTGGGGCAGCGCATATCCCACACTTGTTCTTCTTGGAACACCAGACGTCCCCTTCCCGCCCTGTTCCGGTGCTGTACTTATGACTGCAGTGCTCCTCTGGCCACATGCATGAGATCAAGAGGATACGGCATTACCGTCACGTACAGCGATATCGGCTGTGCCCGCCGTTTTATTCCGCGCCGACCCGAAACCCCAGCCGAAGCCCGCCCGATCGTTTTGTATTGTGTTCCATCTTCCCATTCTCTTGTTATCCAGGGTGTTCATCCAGCCATCCAATCATCCACAAGCCACCCCATATAGCTTGCAGCGAAGCACATCAGTGTAGTTGAATACGAACGACTTTACCAACAACTATCAAGACAAGGTAACGCCTGCGGAAGGGATGCCGCGCGTAAAAGTTGCGTGCGATGCGTGCCATCGATCCAAACAGGTATCACCCCTCTCTCTCTCCTGCATGTCTTAAGCTGACACCAAACGCGCAGAGATGCAGCGGTCCACCAGGCCCTTGCGACAGATGTAAAGTGTACGTCTACATCCCTCGATCGCCTATCTGGACGCCGGAAACGCGAACTGACCCTCGGTCAGAAACAGAGGAACCTGCATCTTTTCCTTCGACACTACCACTCGTACTCGAGTTTCCAGCCAGACACGGAGATCGTATTCTCCTCCACGCTTATATCGCTCGCCTGGGGATGCGTACCCACAGGCGCCACCGTCTCGCCGAGAGATGTCGGGTACACCGCGCGTGTTGCCTACGCTTGGTAGCTGGTATGATGCGCCGAAGGGGGGATCGTCTATCATAAACGGTCAAGATGCGAATGAGATTGAGTAAGTTGATATTCTCAGTGTGCTGGCCAAGTACTGACTTTGCGATAGGGTTCTCAAAGCACGACTTGCCAACGTCGAGGGTACAATTCAAAGACTATCCCAAGCTTTCCACTCGGGTCATCGTCATTCCTCCGGCTCTCATCAAATCATCGCTCCACCAACACACAGGATCGACCCTCAACTACAAGCGCCCTCTCATTCATCCTGGGAACAACCCCTCGACCCGACATCGGGGCACGAGGACGACACCATCACGCCACTTGCAGCTGCCTTCATGGATCTTCCTGTGCCAGATGCTATCTCTCGAGGTATATTGCTTATGGACGATTGTCAAGAAGCCTTTGACTTGTAAGTCCTTTTCCCGCTGTATGGGACATCGCTGAAGGGAGGCAGCTACTTTGATCGGATACATCCGTGGACAATGATCTTGAACCCCCATGAAGATGGCTCGGCCGCCACCGTCCGCGAAAGGTCGCCCATCCTTTTCCACACCATCATTCTAACCGTCTTCTGTACGCTCCAACCCAACGCTCCCCCAGCCCTCGCTAACGTAACACCCCACAGACTATCGCCCGACATCAACTACCTCCCTCGTAATGTACCGCGCCATCTCCACCATCCTCTACTCCCTCCTCGGCCCCCTCCTCCTCTCCTCCCAACCCCCCCAACTATTTTCCGACACCCTCCGCGCCTTACACCTCCTCGACCTCTACCGCCCCGTCCAATACGACAACCTCTGGCTTTCCGGCGAGACCTCCCACGCAGCTATCCAATACCGTTCCAAGGTCAACCCCCAAGGCGCTTGGGCTTTGCGAAACCTTGCGGGGCAGATCGTACAGCGGATGAACCTGCCTCACGCTGGGATTGAGTTTGAAAGATGCTTGAATGCGGGGGTGCCGACGCATCCTAGTATCATTGCTGATGTCAGGCTGCACCTCGCGCTGGCATGGCATGATATACACGGCGCACTGTCTGGCGGGTCTTTACAACATATCGCACCGCCCTCTATCGCCGTGTGTCGCCTTTTCGCAGAAAAGAGGTTTGAAAAGTATGACGTCCGCCTGGCAGCTAGTGCGGAGCTGTTCACGCTCGCCATCAACCTCATCCGCTCCCCCACCGTCTCTCCCGGAGAAGTATACGAATTCAACTCGAGTCTCGACCAATGGTACGGCTACTGGCAGCCCCAACTCAAATCCAACGCTTACTACGACCCATACACCTGGTCCACCATCAACATGTACGGCGCATTCATCTGCTTGCTCCTGAATGCGTACGCTTTGGGCCGGTCGAGGTCGTGGTCGAGTTTGGAGAGTGTGACGGATGATCAAGTGCAGTATATCACGCAGGTGAAGGCGGGGGTGCAGAGGTTGGTTTTGGCGGTGACGGAGCTGAAGCCGGATATGGGGGAGGGGTTTGTGGCTACCAGGTGGGGGTCGACTGTTTCGGCAAGAGTGTGGGAAGAGTTGGAGTTGGATAAGGATATCATTGATACCATGCAGTGGTGCGGAGACTCTGTGGCTGCGGTTGTATGTCCTCATTCTTTATGAAAAATTGCATGTGAGCTAACACAATGATAGATGTACCCCCACGCTCTTATTCTCCTCATCCGTCTCCAGGCCTCGGGCCTCCTCTTCCCAGACCTAATCACCATCAACCCCCAAACCACCCCCACCCCCCAGCCTTCCATCCCCGCCGGATCACCCCTGGCCAACCTTCTGACCTTGGGCGAGTCCATACTCGGGTCCATCGCGCCCAACGACGAACATCCAGTGGGCGTCAAGGCAAACTACATTAGGCGTCTCAGGGGACCGTTCGTACCCGAGGGGATGGCGAGTAATAGGTTCAATGGTTCCGGGACGGGGACGGGGGCGGGGACGCCGAGGACGTCGATGGGTGCGCCGTCGTTGGACAGTCCTGGTTTGGCGGGAGAAGGAGGGGGGAAGGGGCAGGAGGTGAGGGATCTGAAGAGTTGGTTGGAGGTCAATTTTGGGGATAAGGTGATCTTTTCGAGTGGGTCGGGGCCGAGTGAGATCTGATGGGGAGAGGGTATGGTGTTGGGGAATAATGGTATACAATATAGTGTCATAATGATGGAAGTTTGCATTGCCACACGCTGAACATGTCTGGGAAGCAGTCCACACACCGTCGACAAAGATTTCGCCACAAAGGGGCATACTCGAGTACGAAGCGCTGCGCGGTTATCGAAGGAGTCGGTCATGCACCCGCCCGAGACCGACGGGCAAGTACGAAGCCTTGTCATTCAACGTTCGGAGTATGGCCTCATCATCGGGCATCGCCGACATGCGAGTGTGTGCTGCTTACGCGAGACTGCGCTTCAGGACGGCGGCCGTGCGCAGTCCTTTCCAAAGGAGTAAAATGACGCAGACCTTTGTTGTAATTACCGTAAAGTGCTTAGTCACGAGCGTAATTACGCCTCCACTCTTGCTCTCCTCTTTCTCTTGCTCGCCTCCGCCGCCGGCACCTACTTGTTTTCATTGCTGCACTATTATAAAGCATCCGTGTCTTATCTTTGTCTCTATCTTTCAGCCGCCACCATGCTTTTCAGTATCAACATCACTGTGCGTATGTGGCGTGGAAGGCAAAGATCAAGCTGACGAGGATCTAGTCCGACGTAATATGTCCCTTCTGTCTCATCGGAGTCAAGCAGCTTCTGGGCGGTCCGTATCATCCATTCTCGTATTGTATCATACTGACCCTTATTAGCCATCGACGAATTCAAGTCTACCCACCCCGATGCCAAATTCGACCTCCGTCTCCTCCCCTTCGAGCTCAACCCTGGCCTCAGCGAAGAACCCAAACCGAGACGGGCAATGTATGAAGCAAAGTTTGGGAAAGAGAGATCGGCCATGATCTGTGCAATGTTACCGGAAAAGTATGCTGCAGTTGGGGAGACTGTGTGAGTCATTAGCGATTGGGTCGAACCCTCGAGATGGCGACAAGACGCAAGCTGACAAATGAGCCCGCAGTGATCTCGATGGCCAAATCTCATCCACCCACCACGCCCACCGCCTTCAGACCCTCGCTCTCTGCCGTGCTCCCGAGGCCCAGCTTCCCCTCGCCATGGATATCTTCCGCGGCTACCACTCCAACGGCAAACACCCTTCCGACAAAGCCTGGCTCGCCTCTCTCGCTGTCAAGCACGGCATCTTCCCCACGGAAGAAGAGGCGCGAGAGTATCTCGATTCCAACAAGTGTGACAAGGAGGTGAGGAAGGCGTATGAGGTCGCGAGGGAGACGGGCGTGACGGGTGTGCCGTACTTTGTGTTCCAGGGCAAGTTTGCGTTGTCGGGTGCTATTGGACAGGACAACTTTTTGCAGGTGAGTGCTGCGCTTCAAGGTGTCGGGGGTATGGCTGACGAGAATCAGACTCTGGAGGAGATTGCCAGACGCGAGACGGTGCTCGAGAAGAACTCGGCGCCTGCTATCAACTCTGCTCACGGCGAGTCTTGCACCGACCACTGCGAAGGCGACACTTGCGCCGTCCCCACTACTGCTTAACCTTGGTTGACTTGTTTCATAAAAATCTTGCGTTTCTAAAATTGTCAGGATTACATACATGTGTATTTGGATTGTGGCGCAGGTTAATGTATGTATGATGCTTTCTATCGATGCTATATGCTTTAAACGCGTCTATACAGTCTATACCAATATCTCGTGTTCTCCAGCTTGCAAGCCCACCCAGCACCGACCCCTTCTTCAAACCTGAACCACTGACTATCTTCCCCCCTGACCTTTTCCCATCCCTTGCCCTTGCTCGTCAACATCGCATCGACAATCATCCACGCCGGCCATTTCCTCCCCTCTGCTCCGAGGCTGAATTCAGAAATGTCTGAAGCAGAGTCTGCTATCAGGAAGAGAGTGCCGGGGGCAGTATGGGCAGTGAGAAAAGCGAGAAGGGAGATGGTAGACGAGCGAGATTGCGTAAGAAGCTCGGCGAGCGTGAAGAAGAGGGTGATAAGCTTGGGCGGCTTATTGCTCAAGATCCCCTCCAAATCAATCGGCCCAGCCTCAACACCCTCCACCCTCTCCCCATCCCCATCCCTCTTCCCATCCTCTTTCCTCTCCTCCGCCTCCACACTCCTACCAACGCTCTTCAACAAATCACCCTTCACATACTCTACCCCCAGCACCTCCTTGTCGAGGGCCCAGTCGACGCGGACGGCGTGCTCGAGCTTGGAGAGGACGGTGTGCCAGTTGCCAATGTCGATACCGGTAAAGGTGAAGGTGGGGTGATGGACGGGACGGGAGAGGAGGGTGGAGCGGATGAGGGCGGAGATGGCTAGAAGTTCGGAGCCGGCGCCGCCACCCAGGGAGATGATGTTGTGGGTAGGTGATTGTTCCTCTTGCGAGGGTTCTGCCGCTTCTTCTTCAGGCTTCTCTTCCTCCTCCTCTACATCATCCTCATCCTCTTCCAAGTCGACCTCCGCCAGTTTCTCTTCCAAACTCTTCGTCTTCCCCTCAAACACTTCCTCCCCCACCAACGCCCCCATCAACTCCCTAAAACACGCCGCCCTACTCGGCACCCACCTCCCCGCATACGCCTCCAGCACCCCCTCACTCCCACAAAACACCTCCAGCCACTTCTTCTCATACAACAGCCCCTTGATATGCTGGATAGACTCTTGGAAGTTGTCTGCTTGGAGGGTTTCGTGCAGAGCACGGTGGATGAGAGCGAGGAGCTCGGTGTCTGGGGGGTTGAATGGCCCTTCGGGGGGAGGGAGGGGGTCGGAAGAGGGGGGTGGGGGTGGGGGTGTTTCGGGACGAGGGGGAGGGGCGGGGTGGTGAAGCTTGCGGTTGGGACCGGCGGCCTTGTTCTTTTTGTGGGTCTTGGGGGGACCACCGTTGCGGGATCGATGGGTCATTGTGTAATGCTTTGGGGTAGTCGAGAGTAAAATCGAGCGATTCATATCACAATCAATGCTGCAAGACTTGAGCTTCAACTTTTAGTCGTGACATCATCACCACACAGCCACTCCCTCCAAACCCCGCCAAATCCCGCCCCTCCACTCCTCCCCTATATAACCAAACTTTCCACCCTTCTCAGTTCTTCTTTCTTTAGATCAAAAAATATTATGGTTTTCCATCTGCCATGCTCCTGCGCTACTTTCGACTCTCTCGCCTTCTGAAACATGGAGTGGGAGGGGGTCGTTGGACTCTACGCGTTCCAAGGGGTGCTCATGGAGATTCACTAGACGAACGGATTAGTGTCTCGAAACTATTAGGAAACCCTTCTCTCGTCGCCATTGGTATGGGAATAGGGTGCTGAATGTCTCGATACAAGTTTTCACCTGGGGGCTCTGTCTATATGAATTGTTGTTGTCTACACTTTCTGAATCTTCGCTGTACACTTGCTTCCGACCCTACCATTCGCGCTCTCCGCTCTTGATATTGTTCTCTGTTTGACGATTGTGCTCCAGACTCGGAGTGGAACTAAAGACATGGCGCATCTGCAGATTTGAGATACAGGTACAGAAAGTACTTGTACATCTTCCTATTGTTTGGTTCTATCAGACAAGCGAGCACGGCATAGCAAGGCAAAATGGGTATAAAACAAGTGACTACAACTTCCTCTTCTTCTCTGCCCGACCCGAAGGCGCAGCTTCTTCCTCATCATCGTCCCCGTCCTCATCTTCCTCCTCCTCATCATCAGTCAAATACACACTGTCCACATCCACAGGCCCCTTCTTCCCCTTCTTTTGCCCCACCAGCTTGGCCAAGTCTTGCTCCCTGGCTTTGACTTGCTTTCGCAGATCTTGAAGGTCTGCTCGCAGTTCCCTATACTCGTACTCATAGTCGTCATCGTCATCGTGGGCGTCGTCGCTGTCGCTGCCAAAGTCGTCAAAGTCGTCAAAGTCGTCGAAATCGTCTTCAAAGTGATTGACTTGAAATTCATATGTTAGCCTGGGACAGAGCTCTGCGGAGGAGGCAGCTCACTCATCTTGCAAGCGTGAGTGTTTCCCCATCCCCTCACCTTCCCATCCCTCTGCACATTCCTGCATTCCTCCTCTAGGTGTGCGACCATCGCCCGGAGGTGGTTGATCTCCTCCTTCATCTCGTGGCGGGTCACGGGCTCGTAGCCGGTGGAAGGATCATCCGATTGTGCTGGGGTCAAGTCGGAGGCTGTGGTACACTGATGTCAGCGATCGTACTAGCAGGGGTAAGAATGAGGGGAGGGATATTTTTGGTGCCATCGGGGCGCGCGAGCATAGCATCCACATGTTTTTCGGTACCAGTGATAGTAACAGCACACGCGTATATGCATGAACGGGTAAGGGAAGAAAACGTACGTTGAGAACTGGTGGTGGGATCGCGGTCTTTGAGCGGATGAGCGACCGATTGTACTTTGGGGAGCGTGTCTGTGGTACGGCAGTGTCAGTTGTAATGATGGCAGGGGTACACGCGAGGGTGAGGGAACGTACTGTCGGATTTGCTGTTACCAGCAGTGTTTCGCGCAGAAGACATGGCTTTTAGTGTTGTCGTGGGTGGTGGTGACGGATACTTGGCGACGAGTTCGGATGAAAAGAAAAGAGGAAGGGGACGGGGATAGTTTGCATTCTTACACATGCGCACGTTCGCCCCCTCCCGCCCCATGACCTCTATATCTCCGGAGGTGGCACTTGTTGAGGATGTCCTTAGGACATTCTGTGTCTCCAAAATGTCCTCAGGACATCCTGTCTTTAAGATGTCCCAGAGATATCCTCTCAGGCACGGCGCGCTTGACCGCTTTGTTTGGTTCCTCTTTTTGGCCACAAATGGGGCGACCTGACGTGACGGGCTGGTCTGGGGCCTGAGACTACCACCAACCCCTCTTCTTTATTCTTGCGTTCATTGAATGGTCCTCTTCGACTGTTTGCTCCGTTGCACGTCTACTATCCTTCCACTCTGTCATACAGACATCGAGACTTTAGACACGTCCTGCAAACAATTGCATTCGGGGTGTTTGGGGTCTTCACCCAACAAGCAAGCACATGGATCGAAGCGCAATTGGAACCTATCTAGCTATTAGTATCTAACGAGCTACACAATTCAATCTACTCTTCTTTTTTTCCTGTTGGTAGCCTCTACTTGAGAAGCCCTGTTCATATCCGCTTGTCGAGAAGCCATGGTGCGCTTAGGCGCTCCTTCCCTGATACCCTCGCCCACTGCCTTGCCGCCATCCTTGCCGTTCTTCTTCTCACCATCTGTCACATGCTTATCACCCGCTTTCACTGGCTCCTTTTCCCCCTCCTTCTTCTCGCCATCTGCCACATGCTTATCACCCGATTTCACTGGCTCCTTTTCCCCCTTCTTCTTCGCTACCAGCTTAGCCAGCACTCGCTCCTTCACCTTAACTTGCATTTTCAATTCCCTGACTTCACGCTCAAGATCCCAGATGTAGCTTTGCCAGTCATCGCCATCATAATTTTCGTAATCGCCTTGAAGATGACAATCTTCGGGTCCAAAGTGTCAGCGCCATTTCTCGTACCAATTAGAATGTCAAGCGGAGAGGGGAGGTGTTGGTACTCACCTTCCTGGCTCGCCTCAGTCTTGCCCCAGCCCTGAATCTTGCCATCGCTCTTCACATTCCAGCATTCCTCGTCCAGGTACGCAAGGATCTTCTCCTGGTGGTTTATATCCTCAACGATCTTGTAGAAGGCCTCCATATCCCTGGGATCGTCATCGTCGCCCCATATGTCGTCCCATTCGTCGCCGAAAGGGAAGTCGGCTGGTGGGCATGAGGGTGTCAGCGGGCCATAATTGAGAGATAGGAGGCGAAACGTACAGTCGTCGTCGGAGTCGCAGGGAGATTTGTAAGCACAACGAATTTTAGGCATTGCTGTCGTTGCAGAAAGTCTAAATGCGGCGGGGTTGTATCGAAAGGGTTGTATCGAAATCGCAGGAAGATGGGATCGTGTTCGACGCGTTTGACGCTTTTGACGCGTTTCCTTATTTGGCTTCTACTTTTAGAACTTGTAACGCTGAACAGCGTCGGACGAGGCGAATCTGAGGGGAAAAAGGTCATGGGGGCCCCTAAGATGCCGTTTGACGCTGTGGTGTCCTAGTCAGTATATAGTAGCCGTCTCAAGGCTATGCGGTACTCGAAAGTGTCGTTTGCACGTCAATATGGTGAAAGCAAGGGAGCTCCGGATGTTTGGACTCCAGATGGTCAGCAAGCCAAGGTCACAATGCTTCAAGCTAAGATTGATCTGGCAAATTGCTCGGTGGCCATGTCAAAGGCAACGGGACCCGTCTTGCTCGAGGTAGAAAACTGATAAGATAAGCACGCGACCGCGACGCCAAACCCTGAAGAACCATCCAGCTTTGTAAGACAATTCCATCGAGTCAATTTCTCTTCTACTTGGTGATTCATAATATCATCTCGGCCTCGAGTATAGCATTATGATCGAGACATCAGCTAACCCAAGTTGTCCCATTGTCGTGGACCAAGATGGAGAGGCATACCTGCCCATCGCCGGTCATCCCAATCTTCGCCTCACCCTGCGAAAAGAGAGCGATACTGAAGCTATCGTGAATTGCTTCCCTCATCTCCATTTCCAGCCATGACTGACAGACCCATGACTACAGATGGAACTCGCAAACACCCCCGTAATCAGTCAATGGTACCGCTTCCGCGCCGTCCCTTTCCTCCTCTCCGACGCCCAGAAAGAAAACGCCGAGATACCCCTCGCCTCCGCCTACCTCCAAAAGATCACCTCGTCCCTTCCCAACAGGCCGGAAGGAGCGCCTGATGGAGCCCTGCCGATAAGAATGCCATTCAATATCCTACGCGATGTTTCTACAGGCAAAGCCATGGGCTCGTTCCGTTTCGGCGGCCCGGGCATGGACTTTGGACCAGGCAGAGAGCATGCGTGGGAGGCGAGCTATGAAATTGGACCTACGCTGTGGGGGAAGGGCGTTGGGACGAGGGTGGTTGGGGCTGCGTTGGACTATGCGAGATGGATCGGGGTAAAGTTGATCATCGGAGTAAGCTCTTTTCGATTCTTGCCTACAAACTCATCTGATGTACACGCAGTGCGTTCAAAAGGTGAACCTCGGATCGAGCGGAGTGCTTAGGAAGAACGGGTTTACCCAATTCTTGGAGTTCCAAGACGAATGGCCCGCTGAGAGGGGAGGCGGTATCAAGACTGTTTGTGCGTATGAGGTTGCATTGTAGTGTATCATTTTGGTATTCCCGATGCAATTGAGAGCCATGTATGCAGTCCGACTAGCCCATCCATCAAGTGTTGCGCAAAGCGGAGACTATTATCCCTCGGTGACAGTAACAGACTCAAGACAGACTGTCGCCACGACAACCCGCGGGAACCCGAAACAACTAATTCGCATCTCCTCTTTCATCTCGTCTCCAAGGGTTCTCTTTTCCCGGTTCATCCCCATATCTCGTGAGTGGCATCCTGCAATCCCCATCCCATCTACCCACTCACGATGCCCTCCATCTTTCGCAAAAAGAAGCAGCCCAAACCCCCCACTCCATTCCCTATCACCCCTGCCCCCAACACTGCACCCGCGACCCCACGCAAATCCCTTTCCTCCTTCGTCTCCACCGCTCCCAGCACAACCGCCAGACCTAGATTGAGCGTGCAAAGCAACGCGAGCTCGTCCTCTGCTTCTGTCTCTAGCCATCCACAGGCTCAGGCTCAGACGCCCATCTTTGAGAAATTCAGCCCTGTCAAGCCTGCCCCGCCTGCTTCACCTTTGATAGACAAGCCTTCTCCCAGGATCAAGCCTCAGAACACCAACCCGAGCTCTGAAAAGACGAGAGACCTCTTCTCATATTCGATACCTGTACCCGTCGCGTCCCCGAAAGAGCGCAAGATCAAACCGGTCATCAAAAAAGCCCCTACACCGCCTGCAAAAGAGATACCCGTGACAGCCATGTCGACCGCTTCTGTCAAGTCTGTCAAAGATGCTCGTAAGGAGCAGGAGAAGGAACGCGTCGCGCGCCAGGTAGACCAGCCTTGTCAGTCCTTTACATCATCTCCGACCTAGAGCTGACAGTATCTAGCCGGCAAGATCACCCCGGTGAAAGCCTACCTGATCTTCTACAACGCCGTCTCCACCCTCCTCTGGGGCTATCTTCTCGTCATCACTCTCACTTTCCTCCTCACACCGCGCTCCGCCCCTTCGGTCGCTTCCCCATCCTTCCTCTCCACTCTTAGCACCTACGTCCCCTTCCTCGGCGGGCCCAAACACGGCCAGTACATCCACAAGATCCTCAACCACCTCAAGGGATCTTATGACTTTGGCAACCTCGGCTGGTTGACCAAGTGGATCCAGTCGTTGGCCGTTTTGGAGATTGTGCACGCTGCTTTGGGGTTGGTGAGGAGTCCGGTGGGGACGGTCACGAGCCAGGTCTTTAGTCGGGTTTACACCGTCTGGGGAGTCGTTGAAGCTGTTCCTCAAGTCGTACGTCCCCCTTCCCTCCCTAAATGTACATGCTGACTCGGATTTAGACTCACAACTCGCCCCTGTTCACCACCATGCTCCTCGCCTGGTCCATCGCCGAAGTCGTCCGCTACTCCTTCTACACCCTCTCCCTCCTCCCCCCCGCCTCCGTCCCATCCCCCATCACCTCTCTCCTCACCTGGATCCGATACACCTCCTTCCTCGTCCTTTACCCTCTCGGCGCAGGGTCCGAAGCTTTCCTGTCATTCTCCACCCTCCCGCCATTCGCGCTCCTCGCCGGAAAAGCTATTGGTCTTTTGCCAGGCGGGGCTGTCAGGGATCTGGTGGTGAAGAGTAAGCTTGGGAGGGAGGTGCTTTGGTGGGTTGCGAAGGAGGGAGGGAAGAATGTGACGGGACACGAGTGGGGGTGGATGGAAGGTGTGAGGCTTGTCATGTTTTTCGTCTGGTGGCCTTGTGAGTCCAAAATTTTTTCTTGGCACGTGAAAAGCTAATAGGTCAACAGCTCTCTTTGCGCTCTACACTTATATGCTCAAGCAGCGAAAGAAGGTGCTTGGCAAGGGCAAGACTGTTGGAGGTGTCAACAAGGCTCGCTAAGGTATCCAGCCGCTCGTCACGTCTTTCAACAGATCTGGCTCACTGTCATCGAGAAAGGAATGAATGTCTATAATCACTTGTTTTGAGACACAAAACCAGTTGCATAAGTCGTTAAGAAAAGACATGATCGACAGTCGCAAGACCCAAAAAAACAGACGTGAAGACCATAAGCCCGGAATATATTTACAATCAGAAGACAAAACAATAGATCTCTTCTTTCCTTTCTTCTTTCTATCCTATAATCAATGTTTCAAGACATGATAAACATCTCACACCTCCTCAACCTTGGGCCCCCTGACGTTCCCCTGCTCGGCGTGCCCCTGCCACTCTTCACCACCAGTGACGAGGCAAGGCCACTCACTCTCCTCCTCTCCCTTGCCCAGCTTTCGGCCCAACGCCTCATTTATCTCATCCTTCTTCAAACTCTCCTTCGAGCCCTTGCTCGCCTTGGGCTTGAGCCCGAATGCCTGGCGAAGCTTGGCACCCAACCCGGACGACTTGCGTTCCCTCAACACCGGCCTCTCCTTCTGTCCTTCTTCCGACTCGTGCATCGCCACCTGAGGGGCATTCTCAAACACGCCAGCATCGAGCAACTTGGCCGGCGACGGTGTTCGGATCAAAGGCTCATCAGGACCAGACGACGACGAGGCAGAAGCCTGCGAAGGACGGCGGAAAATGTCGTCTTGGTGGAGCGGCTTTGCGAGGTGTTCGTTCACGGGCACAAAGGTCGCGGAGGAAGGGTACAGCGGGATCCTGAGCACCTCGGACGTCTTGAGCGACTTGGGCGCCTCCAACCCCGCCCACGCCCACTCCTCACCCCTCACCCACCCAGGCGCATCATCAAACTCGGCCTTGTCCTCTTCATCCTGCCGCCTCTCCTTCTCATGCACCGCATACCGCGCAGGCGTGGCGCCAGCTTTCGACTTGCGCACAAACTTGTATCTGCGGCTGTGATACCTCTCCGACCGGATAGGGTGGAACGAGTCAAGCAGCATTTGGGAGAGCTCTTCTTGGCGGAAGTGGTGCAGGGGAGGGAAGGTGCGGGTGGTGGTAAGGTAGCGGACTTTGGCTTCGGCCATGGCGGCGACGAGGGGCTTGTCGGCGGTCGACCGCTCGGGTTTGGTAGGTCGGGCCCAGGGGGCGGACGAGTAGGGGGCGTTGGTGGATGAAGATGAGAGGATGGTTCGGACGGCGGAGATGAAGAGGTCCTCGGAAGAGAGCACAGACGACCCGCCGGAGCCAATCTCGCCGTCGACGAGGCCATAGGCGCGAGCGAGCGATGTGTTGAGAGGCTTCATTTCCCGCAAGATCTCGGCCGCATGGATAGGTCCACATCGGTGCAAGTACGAGAACCTGCCCCACATCAGCTTTTGGCACTCCAGAGACAAAGAGAGGACGTACGAGTGAAGTTCACTTCCATGCAGACCCATACCCCTGTAAGAAGGGTTCAAAACCACCCCCCGGCCGGCGAGGACGACATCACAAGCCGTAGCGAGCGCCACACCACCAGCAGCCGCGTTCCCCCTCACACACGCTACCGTCACAATGCCCCTCTCACTCAACGCCTTGCCCTTGCCCTGGCCCTGCATGAAGGCAGGCTGCTCGTCGGAAATGTCGGAGCAGAGGAAAGAGACGATATCGTCGATGGCGCAGATATTGTCCCAGGTCTCTTGGCCGGGGGAGGAGGCGTGTTCGATGGTGTTGAGGGCGATACCGTTGGAAAAGTAGCCGCTGCCCATGAGGGCGAGCACCTTGACGTCCCCGCGGGAGGGGTCGGCGGCCCATTGGAGGGCTGAGAGGAGGGTGCGGCAGTTTTGAGTCGTGAATGCTCCATTGCTATGATCGTGTCAGCTTCCGGTCCCACACTC